GGCCAGGATTACCTTTGGAGATATTAAGAAGAAAATCAAAACAGCTGAGGGTGAACTCCATACGGCACAAGCTGCTCCTATTGACGCCAATATGCTGGAAACTTGTAAAAATCTTTCTGAAGAAATTGATGAGTTAAGGAGGATGGAGGAATCATATTGGTACGCAAGAGCGAGATCAAATGAGTTACGCGATGGTGATAAAAACACCGCATACTTTCATAGGAAAGCTAGTAACAGGAGAAGCAGAAACCGGATTAATGGCCTATATGATAAGAATGGGGATTGGCAGATGGGAAGTCAGCAAATTCAGAACATTGCCATAGAGTATTTTGAGGCTTTATTTGCTTCGGGGTATCCTACTGATTTTGACAGTGTTGTTTCAGGCTTGGAGCAGCGGATTACAGGAGCCATGAATGCAATGTTGGACACGAAACCCAGAACAATTGAGATCAGGGATGCTTTATTTCAAATGCACCCAAATAAAGCGCCAGGTACGGACGGTATGCATGCTTTATTTTATCAGAAATTTTGGCATATTGTTGGGAATGACATTGTTGATTTGGTTCATAAATGGTGGGAGGGTACGACGGAGCTAAAAGATATAAACAAAACTTGTATTGTATTGATCCCTAAATGCAATCAGCCAAAAAATATGACCGATTTCAGACCTATCAGTTGCTGCAACGTTGTCTACAAAATAATATCAAAAGTGCTGGCAAATAAACTGAAACCGCCGTTGAATGATATAATTTCTGAAAATCAAAGCGCCTTTATTCCTGGGCGCTTAATTACAGACAACGCCATGATAGCTTTTGAAATATTTCATTCTATGAAACGTGGAGGTGCAGGCAGACAGGGATCGGTTGCTCTTAAATTGGATATGAGTAAAGCGTATGATAGAATTGAGTGGGTATTCCAGGAACAAGTAATGAAGAAGATGGGGTTCTCGAATCTGTTCATCTGCCGGATTATGGATTGTATTTCATCTGTGTCTTTTTCAATTAAGGTCAATGAGGAGATATGTGGGGCTGTGATTCCTTCGAGAGGGTTAAGGCAGGGAGACCCGATTTCACCCTATTTGTTCCTATTATGTGCCGATGCTTTTTCATGCCTCCTATCACAAGCTGCAAACAGGAAAGACATAACTGGTGCAAAAATTTGCAGGTCTGCTCCAAAGGTCTCATTCTTATTTTTTGCCGATGACAGTATATTGTTTGCAAAAGCTATTCTGCAGGAATGTTCGAAAATTACTGAAATAATCAGGACATATGAACGAGCATCCTGTCAGAAAGTCAATCTAGATAAGACAAAGATCACTTTTAGTAAACATGTTACATATGAGAGAAGGGCGGCAATTGTCAACATTTTAGGGGTTCGAGAGGTGAACAGGCATGAAAAATATTTAGGGCTCCCAACAGTTCTCGGTAAATCTAAAAAGGTCATCTTTGCTGTAATTAAAGAGAAAATCTAGAAAAAGTTGAAGGGATGGAAGGAAAAAATTCTCTCTAAGCCGGGGAAAGAAATTCTTATAAAATCAGTTGCGCAGGCTATTCCCACGTATATGATGAGTTTATTTATGATTCCGGGTGGTCTGGTTGAGGAAATTCACTCAATGCTTATCAGATTTTGGTGGGGTTCAACCAGTGAGCACAGAAAATTACATTGGCAAAGATGGGATAGATTATGCATGCCGAAAGGAAAAGGAGGTCTTGGCTTCCGTGACCTGAAATGCTTCAACGTTGCACTGTTGGCAAAGCAAATTTGGAGAAACAGAAATATTGATTCTCTCACCCATAAAGTGATGAAATCACATTACTTCAAGTCTTCGGATGTGATTAGAGCAAATAGAGGCCATGATCCCAGCTTTGTATGGCGAAGCATATGGAACGCAAAAGGGGTATTTCCTGATGGTATGGTGTGGAAGGTGGGAGATGGGAGAGACATCAAGGTGTGGGAAGATAATTGGTTGGTCAAGGAGGAGGGACCGATTATACTCCATCAATGCCCAAATAGCAATGCTAATATGAAGGTTGCGGAATTATTGGATGAGGAGAGTGGCGAATGGAATGCTAACATGGTGAGAACTATGCTAGGGGCTGAAAATGTTGCACGTGTATTAGCCGTTCCTCTTTCTGCGAATCCAACCAAGGATACTATTTATTGGAGGCTCACGAATAATGGAGAATTTATTGTACGATCATGTTATTGGTTGGCCCGGTTAGGTAATGAGAATAGCGCTCCTAGTGTTTCATCTGGTAAGTGCTGGAGAAGTATATGGAGGCTGCAAGGACCCCCAAAACTGAGGTTCTTTATATGGAGTGTTGTGCGGGGTAATATTGCTGTGAAGGAGAGGTTGTGTCAACGCCATATTACCACCAACACGACCTGTCAGGTCTGTCATCACCCAAATGAAACAGTTTTACACTCCCTCTTTTATTGTTCGTATGCTCGTAGGATTTGGGAATGCAGTGACTTTATAGAGGAGTTAGATGCTGCCCCTACACACTCGTTTGAGGAGAGATGGTTATGGCCGTGCAGTCACTTATCTGTTGACAGAATTCGAACATTGGCTGCTTTAATGTGGGCAAGCTGGAGGTGTCGTAACGTGCATATTTTTGAAAATCAGCAGCCTGATGCGGTGAAGATGGCTTCTGGATTTTGCAAGATGGTGTCTGATTATATGCAATATACGTAGAAGGTGGGTATTCAGAGAGGTAGCAGTACAAGCCGAAGTACCATGGCATGGAAACCACCAAGGGCAAGCTCTATAAAAAATAAACACTGATGCTCATATTGCAGTTGGGGGTATGGCTGGCTTGGGTGTTGAGACGAGAGGGGTGACATTTGGTTGACGGCTACAAAGAGAATCTACCAAACCTCACCGGAGTATGCTGAAGTTCAGGCAATCAGGTATGCTCTAGCCCTTGCTAGGAGGTTCGGCAATTTGGATGTGTGGGTGGAGTCAGACGCACTGAGTGCTATTAACACAATCTCCAATGACAATGTTGGCTACTCCCCGATTTACAATGTTTTCAATGATATTAGGATCGATAGAGCTCTTTTTAATGTTTGTGCTTTTTCTCATGTGAAAAGAAATGGAAACACAGTGGCTCATCTTATAGCTAGGGATGATATGGCCGGAAATACGGAAGTTGTGAGATTTACTGATTTTCCGCCAAGCATTATATCTTTAGCTCAGTTGGATTTTTCCATTTAATGAAAGCTCTATCTTTCCCAAAAAAAAAGAAAAAAAAAAGCCTAATCTAACCACTTTACAATCAATAAATAATATATCTAAATAATAATAATAATAATATATTATTATTATTTATTATTAAGAAAATGAGAAAAAAAAACATTCCTAAAATGAAAAGAAAAAAACACAGCCACCCCTAACTGTCGGACCCTAACCCCCGCCGACAAACCCCACTTGCCCCACCCTTCCTGGCGAACCCGGCCTAGCTAGACCCACCCCTGCCGGAAAAACCTCACCCAGTCACCACTCCAAGTCGACGAACCCCACCCAACCCTTCCCCTGCCTGCAAAACCCTTAGCCACCCCACACGATGCGGCCTTGCCCACGAAACCCCATCCAATTCAGCGATCTAGCCTCCACCCATGCCAGCGACCCAGACCCATACATTAGCGGCGAGTCGGTGACTCCACCCAGCCCCACCTCGAACCCAAATGTACAATCCTGAAACCTGACCAGTGCAAACTCCACCAAGCCCCTGCTCATAAAACCCAACTAGCCTTACCCTTGCCCTCGTCGGTGAACCTCCACCTAACCCCCACCTTAGCAGATCGAACCTACAACCTCTCCTAGCCGGTGCCTAGCGCTATCTAGCCCTCCATCCCACCCATCCAACAACCCAATTTTTTTAAAATTAGTTTTTTTTTTTTTTTTTGTATTTAAAGTGAATATTAAGGTTATTTTTATATTCATTAAACTAATTTTTATTTAATAATTAAGAGTTGGTATAAGTCAATTGATGACCTATTTGGCCGGTCACAAATAAAAATACTCATTTATGAAAAATTGACATCAAAGTTGGGTTAATTTTTGAATTATGTAAAGTTGAACTTAAATATTGGAAGATCAACCAAAGTTTAAGTTCAACTTATTGTTGTTAATTTTTCCTATTACATGTTAACATCGTGTGTCACCCTTTCTTCAAGATGATTTGGTGCCACATGTGCGCTATGTGTCAATGTCACCCTATGTGTCATCACCTTTATGGCTTTCTCTCACCACACTAAATTGTACTATTGTTTTGTCTCTTTAAAAAACTCTTCACATGCATAATTTTAATTCTCTATAATAATGTGTAATTTACTTGAAAAACTGTTCATATGTATATCCTCTTGTTATATTGTCATTTACTTATTAATATGTAGTAAAGAGTGAGGGATAGCTCAAGTGGTTAGAGCTTCCTTCCTGATTTATTTTGATCAAACTTATAAATTTATGATGATGCGGGACACTGCCAGGCCAATAACTAGTTGAAGAATAGAAAAATAGAATGATATTACATTTTTACTCCGTATTCAATTTTTTACCTAATAAATGTTTTTATTTTAATAATTAAATATTAATTATATCGAGACAATTCCAACGAATACACAAATTATATTTTTTCTTAGATATAAATTATGAATATTAGTCAAAGTGGATTGGATAAATAGTGGAAAAAATAAAAACGTTTCACATAAAAAAAATTAAAAAAATTAAAAATTTAAAAATAAATAAATAAATAAAAATGGGAGAGTATAGAGAATTCATCATCAAATTGTTACACAAAATGAAAGTCATCAATGGTAAAAGCATATTTATTTATTTATTTTTAATAAAAGAAGCTTATGGACAACTTTAACTAACATATGAAAAATAAATACAGGTTTCACATATATATATACAAAGTGTAATTGTATTATAATTATATTCATTTTTAACGTATTAAATGTTCATATTTCTATCCACGGACCAACTGACTAGGGTCTAGCTAACAATTTATGCAACACTAAATTTGTCCAAATACTTTGGTTAAACAATGTTAAGTCAAAGACAAAACAAGAGGACAATGTCTAATACAAACAGATAACTTTTTTTCAAAACTGCTAAGCTTACCTAAATCCAACAAATTAAAACATGGAAAATTCAATCAACCCAAAGTATTAAGTCTTCACCATCAACAACAAACCGGTTACGAAAGAATTGCAGATCAATGGAAAATCTTTACAAACCACGATAAACCGTACTATCTCCAGATATAACTTAAACAAGTGAACTACGATGATCCATCTCCAAGTGTAGCTCAAACAAGTATCCCTCATCTCTGCAATCTCTCTACATACCCCTCACGGAGAAGATTGGTACTTCATATTTCAGTAGATTGAAGAAGAGGAGAGGTTTGACTGTCAGTGTTCCGAGAATATTGACTTGGCTTTAGAGCTGGATCTTGATATGCAACGATTAATTTATCGAGAAATTCTGTCATTCTGGGATCATTCTGTTCTTCCCTATCCTTTTTAATCAAACACTGCAACAAGAACAGTTATACAATATTAGTGCAGGAAAGATGCTATTGGGATAGGGCAACTTTTTAGGCATTACAAAACAAAAATGATACCAGTAAAACAACAACAATAAAAGCCTTAGTCCCAAAAATGATTGAGAGTCCATCAACATAAATTGTCACAAGTGTCCGCAAAAAATGGAACAAAGGAAAGTGGTAAAGTGGACGAGAAAAAAACCACAGCAAGAGAAAAAAAACAGGGCAGTGTTAAGCGAAAACCCAAAAAGAGGATATAAAAAATAAAATTTGAGAAATTTTATGAAAGAGTAAGGGAAGATAAAAAGATAAATGTTTGAGAAAACTTATCACATGTAATTAAATAGAGTTTGAATAAGTAAAAAGTATACTTCGTAGTTAATAGTTAACCTGTGATTTACTAGAAGGTAAAAAGAAAAAAGGGAAAATAAAAAATAAAAATACACATGTAAAATGGATGTTAAGGTTTTAATAATCTAAAGTTGCAATGAGGACGTTTTTAGCTAGCCTATATGGCTTCCAGTGAGGATGTATTTATTTTAACTCAGTTGTAGAGCTTTTGAATCGGCCACTCTGAAGTACCTTGAAATAATCTCTGACATCGAAAAGGGAGTACTTTAAGGTTATTGCTACGGTAAAATTGGTTGCAGCAAAGGTCTGAAAGAGGCTGATCATGAAAACTGGCCTAATTCATCTTTGATTGAGCGCAACACTATCATTTGATCTTTTCAGTTGCTACTCCCTTGAATTGGTAACAATGAATGAAAAGACAATGACAGGATGAGAAAATTCTCATGGTCATTGAACTAGGAAGGTTTTAAAACAATTTTGTGTTGCAAAAAGGCCATGAGAACTTATTATGTAAGACAGGTGAAGAGAAAAAGAGGAGAATGAACAGAACAAAGATGGTTCTACATATTCATCCCATAGAGTTAATTCTAATGAGAAAATTATGAACTGGAATAAAATGTAGACAGTGGCTGAAGAAAGATCGTGCATGTTCCAAAACTACTGACATCAAATCAGAAGCAGGCGAACAACAATTAGAAAATTTAGGGGTAGCAATCTAGAAAATCACTGTACCTTCTAGTACTTTCATTTATTCATAGCTTCATTTCATTCACTAACCAAACACAAGCAAGAACATAGCCAGGATTTGTTGAACCTAAAAAGTCAAGTAATTAAGAATGGGTAACCGGGTTTGACGAATCATAGTTCATAGTTGACACTTTTTACTAGACAGAAGTCCCCTCAAAATGTGCAAACAAATCAAATCTACGCAGATAAGATAAAGCCTCTACATAGAATTCTCATCTAGACATAACTCACACACCAACTCAGTAGTATTTCCGCTTCTTACCTAAACACAAGAAGATGATTATCTCCCCATTTTTATTATATATTTTAACATATCTTCATTTTATTTCTTCAAAAAAAAACATATCTTCATTTTACGATTACACATTTTTAAGATTGAGGGGGAAAAAAAATATTTTCTTTTCTTCTATGAACTGTAGCGCATCTCATGTACCAAACAAGAAAAGCTAGTTTTTATATAAATAACCTCTTAAGTGGAGTCATTATTAAGAATACCACCACTTACTAATGGCTAAATAAAGAAACCTGAAACAAGTAGTTGAATAGTTTGTATGTGTAGAGTTATGAGAGGGGTCAATTCATATTTTTCAGTAACAATGGTTTGTAGAACATGCTCATTAAAGGTTGGTTTTGGATGAAAACGTGGATGAAAGCCTTAATAACACACCGGTAAATAAAATTATTCAGCTAGATAGCAAAAATAAGAAAATGATAGAGAGAGAAATACCTCAGCAGCATACGCCTGGAATATAGGAAGGAAGCGTTTGCGGCAATACTCATTAAACAATAGTGTGAGTATTGGTAAAGGGATGATTAAGCTAGATGCCAGAGGGAGATCCTTCAGCCCAAATATTCCTATAGCAATAATGTGCATGAGGACCAAGGAAAATATTGTGGAATTATGCACTATAGGCCAGAATTTGCCATTAGTTTCATGCTTCGGTGCATAGACATTCAGAAGCTGCAATAACGAGCAATATACATCAGAAAGCTAAGATGCACAAAGGCCTATAGGTTATAAGTTATTCTAATTAGAAACCCACCATATCCAAACCATTAAGTAAAGAAAAACTCCCTAATTCACCCTCTGAACAATATACAAAAGAAGAAGCTAAAGTTTTAGCAATTACAATTTAGAAAAGAAAATAAGAAATTGACATGTAATCGACAACCTCCATTAATGACTATTGACCTAAAGGGCACACTATGAAGCACCAGCAACATGATTGACATAGAAGGCAATCAAGGAAGAATAAATCTTGGATAGCACACCTAATAATAACCGATCAACGATTAGGGAGCCAAGAGGTTTAAATTACTCCAAGAATATTTCAAAATAAAATCTCAAACGGACGTCCCTTAGAGTACAAGAAATTGTGAACTTCAACCAACTCTTTTGGAATAAAGGAAGAAGGGACTCCATCACTGATGCCATAAAAGCAAGGAAATATCCATTCAGTTCTCATAAATTTTAGTTCGAGATTCAGAAGACTACCCTTGAGTAATCCTGTACTACTAAATGCAGCTCTATTTTGTTGTATTAGTTCATATATTACCACTTCCTTTTTCTCCCCTTCAGTCCTTACCTCTCCAACTCTAATCAAATTTGAGCACAGTTAAAATCATAAATATAAACCAAATAAAAGGCAGTCATTTCAACACATAAAGATGCAACATCAAATTCAAAAATCTTAATTTTTGTTTATAGAAAAAATTCACATCAAACCAACAAAACAGATGCATCCACACCTGCCTAGTGTCACAAAGTAGCCAGACATAATTTTTGCATGCTGCAAAAAAGAGCTTAGTCAACTGGGTTGAAGTAAAATGGTCCACTTCGGGACATGTACAATGGTATTGAAAAACACCAAATATAAAAGCCAAGGCATCCCCAAGCACCTCCAAACTTAATCAATGGATAGCCTCTCTCACAATCACATTTTTCCCTATCCTTAACATTATCCATAAATAAGACAATGATTGGCACCAGATTAGAAGCTGAATACCAAGATCATCTACTAACATTACCAATTTTCTTCCTATTGTGAATTTTTGGGCAAACTATTTTTCTTTCCTTTCTTTGTTTGCCTTGTTTTTTTTTTTTTTTTTTTTTTTTTTTCCTTTTCCCTTCATAACAAGTGATTCTTGAATTTTATTTTGACGTAAAGGCACTTCCTATGTGCACCTACAACTTAGAGTGGGTGAAAACCAGGCTTCGAAAGTAAAAAAGGGAGTGGAGGATAAATGTGAAATAATGAAGAAATGTAATGGGTAGTCACATTTATGGATTTGAGGGTTATTTTAAGCATTAGGCATGATTCCCCCCCCCCCCCAACAAAAAAAAAACTCCTTTCATAACATTTGGATAGGCAGCTATTCTCCGAAATATTTTGCCCTAGTTTCATCACCTAAGGAACCAGTGGCGGATCCAGTATGGGTTCAGTGGTTTCAGCTGAACCCATACTAGATCCAGAAAATTCTAAATAGATTTCTTTGCTATAAACATTATATAAATAAAACACAACGCAGCAATATAAATCAAACTTCCCATGCGGCCCAGTGGTAAAAACCCAACAACTTTTAAACAAAGGTCGCGAGTTCCACTCCTGACATTTATCTGTCGTTTTTTCTTCTTTATCAAAACGTTTTTTTTTTTCCTAATTTTTCGTTTTCTCATTTTTTTTTATTTTTTTTTGCTATTACTTTTTTTTTAAATACATAATAAATACCGCAATTACCCATCATTATCTAAAACACCTACTACCTCCGTTATTTTTTAGTTGCAATAAACGGTTATTATTTGTGAGACATAAAATATTCCTTTGTTGCAACTATAAAGTAACGAAGGTAGTATAAAAATTAACCATTGTAACATATGTACGGAGTTTTTTTTTTTTTTTAGTTACAAATGTGCACACCCGAATTATCAATTGTAATGTATTTTGAATTATATTATTTGATTTTCATCAATATACGAAATATGTGTTTAACAAATCCGAACCCATAAGAAAAAATTTATGGATCCGCCCTATAAGGAACATAGGAATTGAAAAAAAAAAAAAAGGGGGGGGGGGGAATTCTCAATGGTAGCCTTGTATTTTGGTTACCCTGATTTACCCTAATTAAAATTTTATTCCCACTAATGACATTAATGATCTTGTTGGGTTAATTTTCATAAAAATGCAAACCATAGTTGACCTAAATGATTAAATTACTTAAATACACCTACAATCATCAACATTCTCCCTCCTCATAACACTTTACTGCCTCCACTACCACCAGTACAACACCCATGGGCTCTCGCCAGAATTTAGAATCGCTGAAGAATAGCCCATGCTACCCCTTCAAACCGTTTTCACTCTTCTCCCCCTCTTCGAATCTCTTTTATTGAGGGTCATTTCAAACCAAGTTAGCCAAAATAAAGGGCTACCATTGAGAATTTCCCAAACATAGGGATTACTTTGTCTAATCAATACCCTCTAACAAGGACTAGCCATAATACAACATGACTTGGCTCTATGCTTCCATAATAAATTTACAAGGCAATGCAAAACATTTAATTTCATTCATGTATTTATCTCAGTTAGAGCATGTTCTTTTCCCTTATTTTCACGTATTTCAAGAAAATAAGTCAAATAAGTTCATGAAAAATAAGTTCCAATAATTTCTAATAAGGGTTGATAAGGGGTAGCTAAGTTTAATTTACAATTAAAATAAGTTCTAATAAGGTCTTATAAGTTCAAATAAGATAAGATAAAGTTCTAATAAGTAAACATCAGGTAACTAGAACACACCCTAAGTTGAACAAATTTCATAAATAAGGCAATAATAACGCTCCAAATGAAGTTCAGCCAATTGTATATTAGTATATATACCCTAAACCAACCACACTAGAAAATCTTAAAAGGTGCATTTGAAAGTGAATGTGGTGTTTTTTTTAGGAAAAATGCAAGAATAAATTTTTTAAAAAAATTTTGCTAATAAAAGAAAAAAAAAAAAAAAAAACAGAAAACAGTCTGCAATTGCTGTAATCTTAGGTTGACATGGGCTTCTCACATCAGCTGCTTCTCGTGTATGTTATACCAAGAGCAAAAAAATTACAATTAGTTTAAAGGTAAAGAAAAGAAGATTACCTGATTTCGGTAGATGAGATATCCCATACAAAAGTAAACTAGAAGAAACGGCAAAATTAGCGGGGCAAGAATGAAATATGTTATTCCAAGAAGCACAAAAAAAAGTATCCTGGGAATTTCACTCTCATAGGGGACTGATGAGATTATTAAATCATCAGCCTCTTCTTTAGCAAAAATTCTTCTCAGAAAATTCCAGATGAGAGTGACTAGCTGAAACAGCTCTGACGATAAACTAGTCCATCCACTCGTCACAACGTAGGAAATGAAGAATGAAGCCTGCAGTAGAAGTTGCCAACTAATTACTTATCCAGATTTTGCAATTTTAGGTGAGTATTATTAGAAACTACCATTTATTCAAAATATAGAATAAAACAATACTCCTGCGTAAAAAGGAAATAAGCAAAAGATACAAAATTCTAATAATTATCAACTACACGAGATAGCAGATTGTTCAAGAATATGGCATCTATATCCTCCAAGGAAAAAGCTGAATATCAGGTCTATTTGCAAACAGCCCAAACCTTCTGTACAAATTACAATGGATGATTCAAGGTTAAAAGGGAAACATATTTTACCAGCCAGGTCTAGAACTGATCGAGACTCCCGATGGTTTCTTTTGTAAAAATGGTTTCAAAAGTCTGAAATACATGGGCCATAATAGGTCCATTCCAGTTTTGATCAATCCAAATATATTTACCTGGTGAGCATAAACTAGATATTGGACCTAATACACTGACCCCACAGATGACTAAAAACCAGTCTGATTCCAGGACTGACCAAGAACCAAGGTATGCCCACCTACATTATCAAGCAGCAAAGTCAGAGCGACATTCATTTCACTTAGCTAACCCTGTAATTTTGGGAATAAAGCTTTGATATTATTGTTGTGGTCATATTCAAGCATCTCAAATCTTGAAGAATATCGAAGGTATCCCAGATCTTATATTGATGTACAGTACTCTAAAAAGATTTTGTGCTATACTTATTAAGTTATAAATGTGTTCCTATTTATCCCCATCCTTTTCCCATCATACAGTCCTCTTTCCTTCCTCCAAAATTCTCCTAGTACTGCTGCTCTTCGAGATGGATATCCTGACATACTAAAGTCCAAAAACTCCAAATAAATATTCCAACTCACATATAAAATTCAGTTGGATTAATCATTATTCCTGGGAAATCTTTGCACGTACTTTATCTATAGTCATACCAATTTATCGAAGCCATTAATGTATTAACCCATAAGAACATATTGGACGTTTGGAAATTTCCATTCAAAAAGCTGATTAGTTAAAAGTAAATTTTAATTTATACTTTATCTATAGTCATACCAATTTACCAAAGACACAAAGTATGTTTTACGGACAATAATGTCTTCGATATTCAATAATTAGACAAATGAATTTCTTCATTCAATACAAACTATCACAATCTAAAAAACATATCAATGAATAAGAGAAGAATTATGTGTAGAAGGGGGTTGGGGGGGTGGGGGGGGGGGGAGGTTAAATATTTATTGAACAAAATTTCAATAGAAGGTATCCCCAATGACATTCATATTATTATATTTATTTTTTGTAGACTAATACATTGTTCATCGTTCAATAATTTTCACATCCACATCACATACGTTTAATTAATTATCTGCTTTAACCTTATCTATCACATGATTAACTCAAAGGCAAACTTGGTTTAGCAGTTAATTTATTAAAAACCAATAAATAGTCAATGAAGGCCAAAGCTCACTCTGTTACACGTATACTAATGATTGGGATACAGAGTCTCCATACAAGTCTAAGATGAAAGTTGAATTTCCAAATCCAAGTTATCTTAGCATATTCATTTTTTACCTGGTGAACTTCTGTTGAAAGTGTAGGGACTTCTTAGAACATTTCTACCCTTCAAGGAAGAGTTTCTAAGAGCCAGGGCACTGTGAATGACACTAGGTACTTGATACTATCTTGAGAACAATATAACACTAACACTGAAAACGTTTCAAGACAATAGTTGATTCATGCTTATAGAAGAGAGAATATGTTCATATAGAGAAAACTGCATATATGCCAAACTTTCTAATCCTCCCTTCCTCTCCATGTTGACAAGAAAGAATGGACAGCTATAGCAGATATACTAAACTAAAATAGCACAAATTTACCAGAGAAGATATTTACCTGAGCAGGAACACCTCGAGCAAGTAATTCAGGAATTTTTTTGGGTTCAAAAAACACACTAACTTGAGTTAAAGCTGTTCCTGATAACACATTTGCAAAGAATATGTTCCATATCGTAAACCAGAGCACCTTATTACAAGCACTTTTTTGTATCGCACTCATGGAAATGTAGCCTTGTATAGAGGACAGCATCTTCATTATGGGTGGTACAAATGATAGAAACAACTGAAGAATAAGACTTGGAAGATATCCAGTTATCACTTGACTTACAAAAGCTCTGTAAAGCAATGCCACAATAAACAAGTAAATAAGTAATCAAACATAAAATATACTGCTTTTAGTGAAAAGATGAACAGCATTCTAAAAGAGCAAATTAGAAGTCTAAACCTTGTAGTTTATATAGAAAATAACCACCCTGATACTTGGTGAATTTCAAGAAAATTCCCAAATAAAGAATATGATAATAATTAAAAATCCAAATAAACATATAAATAACGGAACATGTATAAAAAATATTAAAAATAGCTAATTGGCCAAAAAAAGTACTCCAAAGTCCATAGGTGATTTATAAACCATATGATATAATGTTTTCTCTGTTCACACCTATAACTTAGATGAATTGACTATCTATTCTCACTTATGTTTTTTATTACATTAATTAGGCTAGATTTGTCGGATATGGGTATGTGAACAACTGTCAGACTAGTGATACCACAATCAATTGGTCCCTGTTAAACCATCTATTAGTATATATTCTCACACTCTTTTTTACATGATCCAGTTACTCAAGCACATTTTTAGGGTCCCTGTTAGCATACCAGACTACCAATGCCTAAATCAAGGAAATTTTATATTGAGCAGAGAGAGAGTTTCATTTATTCAAACATACTACTCCAAATGGATGAATTACTTAGCATTTTTCGACACTATCTCCATTCCACTAACGTGATCAGATGCCTCCATACGTTTCAAGACTAGAAGAATATTTAGCAAATTGGGACAGAGAGTAAAGTATTTTGTCATCGAACAGTGACTAACTTCTCATAATAATAGGGTTTCATAGAATATGAACAACCCCAAGCCACACCTGCATTAATCTCATTTCTATAAATTATGGGAATCAAGTTCCATGGGATGACTTCTTTGTTGAAGTATTTCTAATAGTAAAGTTAACCACTCACATCGTTAAGATGCTTTTAAGGAAAGGAAGATAGCTCTCCAGTTGTTCCAGATGAGTAAGACCTTGCACGATCAAGACAAAAAAGAGGAATAGAACTGTAAGAACAGCCGAAGCGACATACACCACCAACTTGCAAATCCATATCCGGAAGTATGATGCAGAAAAGAAAGGCCAGTAAACATCATCAGGTTCAGGAGCTTGTTCAGTGACCCACTCTATGGGATTGACCCCCTGTTGAATGTGTATTGCTATTGCAGCACCATATCGTGACTTAAAAGAAACAAAAGCAGCTGGAACTTCCTACAAATCACAACTTAAGAGCAGGAGCTATCAGATATCAATAATCTTTATAAGATAAAGCTAATAATAGTAAAACCCAATAAAGTCACAGCAGTTGAGTGGATGGTAGAGTGAATTCACAAACATGTCTTGAATATATTATCAATTGTATTTTGTTAAAGGCCCGTCCAGGAGCTAAGGGTCTCTAGAGTAGACGTACAAGGTGAAGGTGTGCCTCATGCAGTACACAGTTTCAATGATGTCACTTAAAAATATACAGGAGGGAAAGGGGGAGATAAATTGGGAAATTTTGACAGAGAGAAAAAACAACAAAACAGTTAAGTGTAATTAATAATTTCTGTCCATTAAAAGCTCCAAGCTCACCCTGTCATAGACCTTCTCAGAATCTAACCTAAAAAATAACCCCATCAAGACTTTCAGTGAGCCTCACCTACTTCATTTTCTACGAAAATCGTATCAAAAGTTTTCCTCCACAAAAGCACATCGAGATTGTGAAATTGTGAATGAAAACACCTCCCCCAGATACGGCAAGCCAACTAATGATAATTTTGCATGTGCTAGTAAGTAAATTAATTTGCCGATAATCCATAACCTTATCAAACCATTCCATTTTAGGAACAAAGACATTGAAGTTTGCAATCATGCACTTCCCAAGAATCTCAATATATATATATATATATATATATCAGCCTAAAAGTCCAACAAATCAGACTTAAATCCTCAACACTCCTGAAAAAAATGACATCTGCAAGTGGTGCCTTCCCAATCCATTGAGAGAATTGCTTTTGTCGCCTCCTCAAATCGTTCTAACCAATCAGTCACATGTGGAAATATTTCAAGACCTTCAAGCCTAGACCAGTAAGCCCAATCTTTAGTGAAAATGCTTTTATAAAATTGTGAGACCTCCTTAGAGTCCTTACTAACAGCATCAACAACCCCAATTTCACTTCCTATATCATCACTAAAGTACCTCTTTTCCTTCCATTTACTACTTAATAAATAGTACTACGTATAAAGCAAGCATTTTCCTCTCTTGCTCACTTCACTTTCATCTCTTGGTACAAATTCTACGTTCTTTATCACAATCACCTCCTTCAATGGACTCTTTTATGCTAGCTCTTCCTCTCTGACTCTCATCACAAATTTTTCAATCAATGGAAAAAATCTGTTTCTGAAGGTCCTCCATCCTTTGCCTTAAATATAAGAAAACTTCATATTCAACCCTTTCTACTTCTCCTTAAGGTAATTTAGCTTTTTCATAAAGCGATAGCAGCCTGTACAACTGGAAAGAAAAATAAATAAAATAAAATAAAGCTTGAACATTTGGTCTAGCCTCTAACCTCTGAAAAAAAAAATTATCGACTTCTAGAATTTAGAGACGAAACACATGAACATAAAAAAGGATTGCAAATCACCAAACAAAGTAGGATTAATGAGTGACTGTTTAAGGAGTTTGTCCCCTCTTTATAGGTATTGGTGGACTCTGTCCAAAAATTAAGTCTTACAATCACTTTAGCATGCAAAAATTAATTGTCTAGATTCCTTATATCAACATTTTTAACATTAACATAACGTCTACATGTTTTGTGGGTTTTCCCAAAAAAAACCATGCAATAAAGGACAGAAAATAATATGAGATTTTGTGGTGCAGTGCATACAAATGGAAAAATATTTACTCCAGCAAATCTTTCCACACAAATAAGACAATAGAACGTAATTGTGTTGTATGACTTCCAAAGGTACAATTACTAAATACAAGCAGCACACAGGCACACACCTTTTCATGTAATGATGATTGCTCCATCCTCATATTGTCCTCCGTAACCTCTAACTTTTTCTCCAATGTACGTAAATGACGATCTTTGTTGCTAAACAGCCCTAACCTTTGACTAGAACGTTCTTCAGACTTAAGCTGGTCAACTGCTCCGTAAAGTTTTTCTGCATTGTCCTAGAACAAAGTATGCAGATGTTAAAGCTCCAAACTAACAAAATGATAAAATTTATACATCTTTTAGAATTGATCTCTATTTAGCAGCTGGGAAAAGCTAGCACAAAATACACAATTTACTGTTCAAATAACTAGTTGTTGTTTGGATTTCAAACACATAATCCTTACAATTTCTCACTTTCTTTTTTAATTAGCTAGACAAACTGACAAACATATATATGATTCCTTTTAAAGCCTACTTTAAAAATTAAAATTTAAAAAAAAAAAAAAAAAAAAAAAAAAAAAAAACTGTGATTTCTTGCCTTTTACTTTCCAAATCTATCCTTCCCTTTGTCTTCTAGTTGCCTTACAAATCAATCATGAACTCATGATGTTATATGTTTCGTAGACATTTTTGGATTTAAACAAAGTAGAAAAAGGATTTAGAGTAAGTACATTACAAAGAGAATTGAAAATATCAATCCAACTATCAAACATAAATTCGGGGTTACACCTTTTGAGAATAAGATGAGGAAGAATCTCCTAAGGAGGTTTGGCCATGTACGATGAAATTCGTGAGATGCACTGGTAACAAGATTGTGAGGAGTAGGAGAAGACATTAAAATGCTTAAAGGAGGGTGATTGAGAGTGATATGAACATATTTTGAGGAGCATATGGCATTGGATAGGACAGAGGAAGAAAGCTATGCATATGACATGACATGACTTTGTACATATTTAATATTAATATTTATTTATTCAAATATTTCTTTTTTCCTCTCTTTACATTTCCTGTTACCCCTCTTTTATTAGACTTCCTCAATTTAATTTTTGTATTCTCCTTTTTTGGGTTTCACTTTACATTACCCTCGTTTTCTTGATCCCTGAGTTTTCTCCAGTTTTCTTACACTTTCACTTTCTCACTTTTATTTGTTTAGTTTCCTTAACTTATTTCTTTACCTTTTGTGTTTCCCTTTTCAACAATGATTCCTTAGGACATGTTAGCCTACCCAAATCACTTTGGGACTAAGGTTTTATTGTTGCTGTTGTTGTCGTCTCACAGAAGTTCCTAGTTTATATTGGCACAGAATTTTAAAAATATATATTGAATGTAAGAAAATGTAAGAGGTCTTACAACGGACTAACAGGGAGAAACCGTTAGAGGAAGTATTGGGGAGAGAGAGAGAGGTATTGGTTTTTTACTGGAAAATGAAAGTGAGCATTCTTGTTGGAGAATCCCAAAATACTGAATTAATAGCAACTAAGAACAACTTTGTGTAACAGTAAAAAGTAAAAGATGTAAGATGTGAAACCAGTAGAATGTAGCAAACAAGAAAGATAGGGTAAAAGAAATCACAAGAGACTCAAAGAAAGCTTCGGCTATGATTAATAAATAAACTTATTATCCACTTCACCATTGAAGTAATATTCTGGGAGCTATGAAAATGAAAATTGGGAGCAGATGTTTTTCTTTCATACCATTAGGAAGCCCAGCAACTTTCTTATATGGTAACTATGCTAATAAAACTTTCAGGCAAACAGACTAACTAGCCATATGTATGACATTTGTAACCAAATTGTGTGTTACTTGAAGATGGTATGGTTATAGGCCAAAAACATCAAGATTAACTTTCAGAATGAGTAGAGATTTAATACAGAAAAAATTGTTTTTAACGGAGGTAATTATAACCTTTTATGGATTACATAAGAGAAGCAACACAAACAGCTTTGAAATGGGGTGTGAAATACACAAAACATTTGCACAATCTAAGTATGACTTATAGAAATGGAAGTAATTGAGCGCACCCAGGTTAATCTTCATGATTGACATAATTTGTCAATCAAATTCTCCACCTCAGCTTTTGTGACCCCCACTTGATGAATAAGCAAGATGAAGCAACATCTGTTTGGGTTACTTGACATTAAACATTGAAAAGCTTCCTCCTTCCTCCATTAAAGCTTCACCAACCTCCACCACCATTGAAGCTAGCTTCCCCATCTCCACCACCATTGAAGCTTTCCGACACCATCATTGAAGCTTCCCAATCTCCACCCACCTTCGCCGATCTTAAACGAACATCCTATGAATAAAGGATGAAATTAAGGGCATGGTCAACCCCTAAGGGTAGGGGTGATCATGTCTTCCATTGAAGCTCCCTCCATTAGCTTGATTTTCGAAGATGGGTCGAAAATGGTAGAAGAAGTGAGGTTGGCGGCGAAAGGAGAGGAGATAGAAGATGACGGTGGTTGTGATGATGGTTGTGGTTTTGGTGGTGGTGGAGTGCTTTCGCGTTTGGAGACGCCAATCGAGTGAGCTCTTGTCTTGGAAGCTCCCTCCATTGTTGAGAGATAGAGAAGAGTGAGGAAACAGAAAGTTGGATGGAAAATGTTGTTAACGGCGTGAAATTTATACTCCGAGCTGGAGTAGTGATATGGCAAGAATGCCAACTCTCAGCATTTCAGCAACAAACACACCATACTGATTAAAATGATGGAAATCCCATTTACACCCTTATGATTGACAATTTTTGTTGATCTAGTAGATCAACAAGTATTTCCTCGAAGTAATTAGCTAGCTAGTGACTAATCGATGCAAAAACAACCCATCACATACAACTCTGATCTACAAATCATGTCCAATCATGTAGTACATATCAATATGCTAAAACATAGCAAACAACAAAGAAGAGGCTGTTGTAATAATAAGTCCGAATTTCAGAATATATGGAAGATGAGACTAGAAAAAGAAGTTCAACAAAGTTGGCTGTCATCTATATTTAGGATCTATGTTATGCTAAGAATCTATAACATATAAATTTATACTTACCATAAGCTGTTGAAGTTTGCTCGTCCGACGAACAACTGTATGAGAAAGATATGTCAAAGGATGATACTCTCTAAAAAATTGTTCTATGCTTTCACTTAAACTGCTCCCAGCCTGGACAGGAATACCACGAACTAAAATGGTGAAGTGGTGAAACTGAGGTTGGGATGCATAAAAATAAGCAATCCGCTTCAGAGCAATGACCTTATTTTCCTGCATTGAAATACCAGTTTAGGAATATTACAAGAATGTACACTAGGGGTGAAACAAATTCGGTTTAAAACCAAACCGAACCGAAAACCAAACCGAATAAGAAATATGGTTCGGTTTTTTTCCTAAAGTGGTTCGGTTTGGTTTGTTAAAAAAAAAATTCGGTTTTCGGTTCGGTTTCGGTCTGAGAAAATTAAAAACCGAAAAACCGAATAAAACCGAAAAAACCGAAATATTAGGCCCAATTTACCCTAAGTATATAAACCCAAAAAAAAACCTAATCTATTTGCGTTTTCCTCTGAAAGTCTGAATCCTCCACGCTCTCAGCCTCTTACCCTAAGTCTCAAACTCTCATCCATTCCACCGTCCATTCCACCACCGTTCACCGTCCAGGCGTCCAGCATCCACCGTCCATTCCTCCACCGTCCTGCCGTCCAAAGGTAATTTTTCATATTTGCGATTAAGCATTTACTTGGTTCAAATCTGGAAAATGAAAGTTAATTTCTTAAGGTTTTAATTATGAGTAGTGTTAATTACGAAAATGATTATTAAAGATGAGTTTGAATCATGATAAAATTACAATTTACATGTACAATTTAATAAAAAATTCAGATCTGTTCGGCTGTTCCTTCCCTTGAATTCTCTAGTATCTTTGGGTGAATATACACTCGATTGTTGATTGTGAACTTGTGAATTGTGATGTTGTTTGTGAGGCAATGTTCGTTTATGTTTTATTTGCGAAATACTTTGTTACAGTCTACATGCTACACTAGGCCTAAGTAGTTGCAGATACACTCTGTATTAGTTTCATAGCTATTTACAGTGTACATTTTCAAAGAAATGTAACTGTATTTTCAAAGAAATGGTTAAGACTACATGGATGCATGTGTTGTGAATTGTGATGCTGTTCTTTTGCTGCTGTGTTGTGAACTTTTGCTGCTGTGTTGTTGTGAACTTGTGATGTTGTTCTGCTGTGTTGTGATGTTGTTCTGATGCATTGTGCATTCTGCATTCTGCTCTATTAATTTGGTTTTATTTATGTCCTAGGCTCAGTCTGAACATGAGACTGACCAAGTCTCAGAAAATCAGAATAAAGAACAAGGAGCAAAAAGGAAGAGGATGAAAGAGCGCTCTGAAGTTTGGGAGCACTTTATTAAAGAAGATTTGGCTTGTGGAAGGCAGGCAATTTGCAAGTATTGTGGAATGAGTTACAAGTGTGGGGCAAAGAAAAACGGCACCAGTGTGTTATGGGCTCATATTTCGCGATGTCGTAAGTATCCCATAAACACCCCTAAAGATTCAAAACAAAGTTTGCTTTCATTCAAAAGTGCTAAAGTACCAAGTGGTAGTACTAGTGGGTTGACATACCACAAATTTGATGCTGGTAGTATTAGAAAAGCTTTGTCATTTATGGTGATTGTTGATGAACTTCCATTTAAGTTTGTAGAAGGTATAGGTTTTAGACACTTTTGTGGTGTAATGGAACCTAGATTTAATGTTCCTTCTCGCATTACAGTAGCCAAAGATTGTTTTGAAACATATTTAACTGAAAAACGAAAGTTGAAAAATGTGTTAAAGAGGTGTAATTCAAGAGTTTCTTTAACCACTGATACATGGACCTCAATACAACAAATCAATTACATGTGCCTCACTGTCCACTTCATTGATAATGATTGGAAATTACACAAAAGAATTCTAAATTTTTGTCCTATTTCTAGTCATAAGGGTGATGATATTGGCAAAGAAATTGAAAAGTGTTTGCTTGATTGGGGGGTTGAAAATATCATGTGCATAACTGTTGACAATGCTAGCTCAAATGATACTGCAATTGGGTATTTGAGAAGGAAAATAAATGGATGGAAAACTGGGGTTCTTAAGGGTCGTTTCATTCACATGCGTCGTGTTGCGCACATTGTCAATTTGGTTGTTTCTGATGGTTTGAAAATTGTTAATGATTCGGTTCAACGTGTTAGGCATGTTGTTAGGTTTATCAAACAATCTCCTGCTAGGTTGCAAAGGTTTAAAAAATGTGTCTTAGATGAAAAAATCAACACAAAAAAGGGATTGTGCCTTGATGTGCCTACTAGGTGGAACTCCACCTATTTGATGTTGAATGCTGCTATTGAACTTGAGGATGCTTTTGAGAGGTATTCTGAGGAAGACCCCCACTATGTAGTTGATTTGAATGAGAGGGATGGTAAGGGTAGCCCTGATTCTGATGATTGGAATAATGTGAGAAGATTTTCTGAATTTCTACAAGCCTTTTATGATCTGACCTTGCATGTCTATGGCTCTTTATATGTCACTTCCAATTTGTTTTTTCATGAATTGGTGAGTGTTGCTGTACTTTTGAAAGATTTGGTTTCAAGTGATGATCCGGATATGTGTCTTATGGCTTGTAGAATGAAAGAAAAATATGAAAAGTATGGGGGTGATCCAGAAAAAATAAACCTCTTGATTTTTATTACCGTTGTCCTTGATCCTCGTTATAAGCTTGATTATGTTCAGTGGATGATAACTGAAATTTATGATCCTATTGTTGCATCAAAGTTGGTTGATAATGTGAAGATAACTTTGAATGCTTTGTATGAGGAGTATCGTGTTTCTTCATCTAATGATATGAATAGGGAGGAAGTGTCTTCAAGTAAGGATGACAAAACTCCATTGTCTCCCAAACATAAAAAGATTGAAGTCTTAAAGAGTAAGTATAAGAAACACAAGTGTGAGAAAGATGGAGATGCAAAAATAGAGTTGGACAAATATTTGGAGGAGGATACGGCAGATGATATAGGTGAATTTGATATTTTGAGCTGGTGGAAGTTCAATTGTTCAAGGTTTCCTACCGTGGGGAGAATTGCCCGTGATGTTCTAGTTGTCCCTATTTCGACAGTAGCTTCTGAGAGTGCATTCAGCACTGGTGGCAGAGTTCTAGATCAGTTTAGGAGCTCATTAACTCCCCGAGTTGTAGAAGGTCTTGTTTGTGCTCAAAATTGGTTATGTGCTTCACCATTTCCAAGTATTGAAGAATGTTTAGAGGAAGTTGAGCTGCTTGAAGAAGGTAATATATAAGAATATCTAATCAAAATTTACATATTTTCATTTATGTATATATATATTAACTTGGTTATTTTTGTTATGAATTATGATAGATTTGAAGAATATGGCAATTAGTGATGCTGATATTGATGAAGTGCAAATAATAGACTGATGTGGGCTCTTTGCTAATTTGATGTTGCTGTGCTAACTTGCTGCTGCCTGCTGCCTTTCCTCTATGCTGCTGCCTGCCGACTTTCCCTTTATGCTGCTGCTGCTGATTTTCCCTCTATGCTGCTGCTGAATCTTATGATGTTGCTGCTGATATTGTTATGCTACTGCTGTAGTTGTAATGTTGAACACTTTTTTTTTTTTGGATGAAGTGTTGAATTCTTAGAAGTTAGAACTTTGAATTAGAACTTTTAATGTTGTATTGTTGTGACTTGTGAATGTTGTGATGTTGAGTTGTTGACAACTTGACATGCATTGCTAATGGGCCTACTGCCTGTCTGCCTTGCTTTATTTACATGTTCAGGTTGCTATTAATCTATTATGCTGTTTAAGCCCTTGCTATTAATGTATTACATGCTCTATTTACATGCTCCTTGCTGTTTAAGGCTTTAAGATATCAAAAATAGCAGAATAAAGCCCAAAAAAACAAGGCCCAAAAACAATTCGGTGTGGTTCGGTTTTTTGTTTTGAAACCGAAATTTATTCGGTTTGGTTTGGTTCGGTTTCTAAAGTAAAGTGGTGTGGTTTGGTTTCTAAAATCGCGAAACCGAATTAGAGTGGTTCGGTTTCGGTTTGGGCCATAAACCAAACCGAAAACCGAACTTTCACCCCTAATGTACACTCTCCTCAGACACTCCCTTTAATATAGACTCATTAAATAACATATCATTAACACACAAGGCAAAAGAATCTTGCAAAACCATAATTTTTCTAAGAGAGAGTAATAGCAAGTGTATGAACAATTTTGCAGCAGTAAAACACATAAACCTTAAGTGACAGGTTTATAATAACCCTTAGGTGGTTTTAGCCCTACTTACATTATAAAGAAGATAGCACACAGCCCCAGTAAAAACATATGCGGCACAAAAGTGAATCCATAACCTTCACAAGAGAAAAGATGCACAAAATCAGCAGACTTGAAGAAAAAACTGTTTCATAGATTACAATAATGGACCATAGAATAAAGGAATTCTTACAATCACTCTCTACAAAATTGTTCTATGCTTACACTTAAACTATCAAATTTTTAGTATCAATTTTACCACATGGTAGATGCTGCAATTGCACATCTCATGAAAAAAAGAATATTCACCTGTTTGAGCCATTATTGACATTAGAAATGCTGAAAGAATCCAAAGACTTGTTGGGAAGATCAGAAAAATCAATAAGCAGCTGATTTCCCAAAAAGTTTATGGGAAGAAGAATGAAAACACCGATGATAGCAGCAACGGAAAATACCTTTAAACTGCAAAAAATAAAAAATAAATAAGTTAACTTAAAATAGGAAAAATAATTTTTCTACTACTTGTAGATTTTCCACGTTCCAGACTACCTGAAGGTAAAGAGTCGCATAAATACAACACCATCCAGACCTGATTTCTCCAACAAGTCCTCTTCTGATTGTTGCCATGCCCTTTTTACCCAACCAGCTGAAGGCAAAAGCCTCTCTAAGTTGAAATCAGTATTTTGTTTAAGCTTTCTTTCAGCAACTAGACGTGGTGCATAAACTCTGAGGTTACTCGGCTGCTTCCTTAAAATAGAGTACAAAGTGAAAAACAGAAAACAAAGGCCAAGATTTATTCCAACAGACGTCAAAAGTGCTGAGAGGATCATTCCTTTCAGATAATATCAAAAACACATCCAGCAGCAAACTGCAGACCTCCTTGTAATCCCAACGTTTATGTTACCCACAAGAAGTATAGAGACTAGTGAGTGACCACAAGAAATCTGTAATATTCCAAACAACAAATCCTCTGAAATGAAGAGAAAAATTGTAAGCCGGATGGATATAATAGTTGAGCATTTGTAATTCATACATCATATGGAGACATGTCATTAAAAATACTCTATTCTAGTAAGTTTTGGCAAAATTAATGCATAGAAAAGATAAAATGCATAAGACATTGCTGCCTTGCGCAAACTAACTCCATGATCACTATATTATCATTCTCAGAAGAAGATTTTTCACAAAAGCACCCAAAATCTTCTTTAGATTTTGCACTGGTATATTGGGACATGTAACAGCACAATGACCCAAAAGTTTAGTCTTTCCAAAATGCAAGTATTATTTATTAGTCCAACACATGAAGAGCATTGACAATGATGGCTTATGTAGAAGAACAATAAACTAACACCATTTGCAAACTGAAATCTCCATATCAGCCTCCTAGCAATGCTAAAACCCTGTCCAATGCCACAAACATAATAATAAAAAAAATTTAAAAAAAAGAAAACCTTCCTAAGGCTAGAATATACTAGTGGACTTTACTAAATTCTCAAAGCTAGCATTCAAAAGTCTCGTCATGAAAACAGAAACCAATAAGATACCTACTAGCTTCATCAATAGATTTGAAACATGAAAGTAAGTCATCGCTACCATGGCCTTGTCCCAAATGTCATTAGCCACCACACAAACATTGGAGAAATGTTATGACATTGCAACTAAAACTCCTAATAAGGTCATGAAATGGAGAGTTTGGTTAATTCATGAAATAATAATTAAAATAGCATCAAGGCTTACATATAGTTTACTTTAAAAAAAAAAAAAAAAAAGTTCAAATCATTACTTCTGCAAAAGATGTGGAACCAATAGAAGATGTCTTCCTTGAAGCCCGTTGATATTGCCTAAGATTTTTAGGAAATTCGGGGATATGAAGCTATTTAATCTAACCGAGACTAAATAACAACTAAATTGGTAGCTTTCTCAGCAAAATATCATATGCAATTCTCTTGCTAAAACAATTCATACGAATTGATCAATTATAACTCAAAACTTCTCATCAATGTGGATGTTATTTTGAGGTATGTATCTTGTATTATAATTTCTTACATTCAAAAATATAATGTACTTATGTCTTCTTTTCTTCATGTTACGAAGTACTATTATTTTTTGTACAGGTTTTCATATGTTTACTTCAACTAAATATTATAGGCAAAAGTGGGACTTTAAGAGTCGGTAATTCAGTATTATATGACACACTCATCTCAGTTGATACGACAAATCAAAAAACTTATAAGCATGTATTCCAGAAAAACATACACTTAATCTTTTGCAGAAAGGCAGCTTCGAACCTCCTAAACTCCTTTAATAGCAATGCCTTGAAATAAAAATTGTTTGTTGGTTTCTTACCTGAAATTCATATTGCACTAAACACTATCTACAAACCTTAATAATATCCCAAATGACCCACTCATCTAATCACCTATATACTGACCAAAAAATTATCCAATGCGATTAAATTTAAAGGATGTAATCTGCAACTCCCTTTCCAAACGATAAGGAAACGTGGAAGCATAAATTGTAAAACAATGACTCGTATCTTTAATCCAGAGATATTAAATCCCTTTCTTTGTTGTTAAAAGATAATAGTTAAATAGATAAAGAAGGTTATAGAGTTACTTTGGATTTATAGTAGGGATTATGTAACTAAAAATTACAAAAAGTCATTTGGACTTTTGGAGATTTATAGTGAGTTTTTTTAAATTCCCATTATCCCAAGAGAGACACGTGACCTCCATGAGAAATTCTATACAACAAAGGTAAGAATTCTATTAAATATTGTACTTAATGTAGCATACACAAGGCAACTTGTGTATTTGTGTGTGTGTTATGACTATATATAGCTTCGAACCGATGAAGAAATGAACATTTAAATAAAAATTTTAAATCGCATGGACAAACTTGGAGGGAAAAAAAAAATCTTTGAGCCGAAGAATCAATCCAAAATCTAAATGGCAAATTTTAGATACCATTCTGGATCAGGATCAACAATACCCTTCCTGACAAAATCCTAACTCAAATCAACAACCTAGAATCATTATTAAGAAGAAATTCTGCACCATATAAGCAAATACCCTCTCTTCTTAACAATCTTCTCAAGAACCAAATCTTCGTCACCACTTAGGCAGCTTAGCTAAAAGACTTAATTTTCATTATTAAATTAAGAATCCAAAACTCACCGCTCAATTTACTCAATCACAACAACATCAATAGAATAAACGACTTCAGGAACACTAGAAGTCTAGAAAAACTCGGCCTGCGGTGCGATTAACATTAAAAAAAAATGAAGCAAATTCATAGGGTCCATTTCAATTTACAGCATAGCAATCATAAAGGATTTGCCAAAATAATTAAATAAATAAAAAATCAGTTTTTTGAGCTTTTATTTTGCTCTTCTTACTTACATACCAAATTCCTCAATCCACCCTTATTCTGCTTCAATTTGACAAAGATACAAATTAATTACAAAACCCATCATTCAATAACACCCTAATTGTAAGCCGAAACGGTTCCATTCGTCCTACAATCAAATCCCGGCTACATCATTGCCCTTCGTGGCTTCCTATGAACCAAATAATGATTACTACTTCATTATTCTCTCATACATTTACACATTAAACCCCTTTAATTTCCCTTACTAAACTCCTCAAAATTTTGTGAAATTATCTTCAAAGCTCATACATCTATTAATTTATGCAATTAAAAAATTAAAATCAATCAATATATGTGATGATCATTCGTTCCTATGTTTCAACATAAAAATCAAACAAAAAAAAATACATGAAAAAGGGTAAATAATCATACAAATTGAACAGAAGAGGTTAATTCAACCAAAAAAAATTATAAGAAGAAATTAAAGAAAAAAAAAATTAGATCAACAAACTAACCAGCAAACGGTGTTGGCGCAGAAGTAGGAGCTTATGTCTTCTTTGAAAGGAAAGTAAAATTAATAGTGTAGTATATTGAAATAGAAATGAATCGACTTTTGTGATATGGTGTAAAGTGTAATTCTCAGAGTAATTTGATTTATCAAAAATAAGAGTTCATGTATCATCAAAATAGGGGATGTAGCTCAAATGGTAGAGCGCTCGCTTTGCATGCGAGAGGCACGGGGTTCGATCCCCCGCATCTCCATTACAATTTTTTTTTTCGGTTTTTTAACCATATACCCCTTAGTTTTTTGTTTATTCACCATATAATCCTAAACTTTTTAAAATTCATCATATACCCCCGAGTTTTCTCAAAAATACACCATATACCCTTGATAACTAATCATTGTTATTTTCGTCAATCATTAGGGTTAATTATGACCCGAAATCACCCTAAATACATTCTCCTACCCCCGAAACCACCCACATTCCTTTTTTCCACCCCCAAAAACCACCCCAAATTTCCTTTTCTCATCCTCAAAATCAATCATACGGATATAGTTATGGAGATTTGGAGTGGTTTTGGGGGTTGGAGAAAGGAGATGGGGGAGAGAGATGTAAGGTGATTTCGATGCATAATTAGCCAAATTCCACTTATCTTGTTGTTATTAGGGGTATATGGTGAATTTGAAAAATTTCAAGGGTATATGATGAATAAACAAAAAACTCAAGGATATATGGTGAAAAAACCGTTTTTATACTCCATCCATTATATACGTGGAGCTCATATGAGTTTATGATTGTTAGATGTCATCACTTGTTTGGGTTCAAATAATATTGATACTTTCTCCGTTTATAATTATACTTTCTCCGTTTTTTTAATAGTTACAACATACAATTTTTTTTTTACGGAAGGGGCCTTTTGATTGGGGATATTCAACAAAGAGAAGGGGAATTGACGGGAATCATTCCCTTTGTTGTTGTTTGTTAGGCCACTTTTCCAATCCCCTTAACCCCATTCATTCCCCCAAATCCCTCTAAGTTCATTCCCCATCCCCCCCAAGCCTTTTGCATTCCCATTCCTCTTCATTACCCACGCCCCTTTCTCTCTCCTCTCAAGCCTCTCAAGTGAACCGTAGCCAGCTTGAAGAAGCTGTCGTCGCCGGTGAGTGGTTCCGTCCGACTACAAAACTGTGACCGTCGACCACCACAATCACCGCCACTCGGCTCCGTTTTATCGACATCAATCCGCATTGTCTTCTTTCCGGGCAAATTCCCCTCCGAAACCCCGGCAACAAACTCAGCCTCCGTACCATCCTCCGCCTCCTTGCGACAATTCCTCCCATCTCCACCTCCCTTCTTCGGCCCGATATCCTCGTCATTATTGTCAACCACATCAAAATAATCATCATCAGTATCACTATCACTGTCATTTTCCACTCCAAAATCACTAACCCCATTAATAGCCATTTCATAATTCTTCTTACTCATCTCACTTCCTCCGTTTCCAGAATCAATCTCTCTCTTTTCATCCACTCCCACCTCATTGATATGCTCCTGTTGTTGCTGGTTTTTCTGCAATTGATAAAAATCTGGTACTCCATTGATTGCTGAACTCGTATGAACTTCAATGTCGGCGTATAACTCGCCGAAATCATCGCTGACATCTTCCATGATTATGGAAGGATTAGTTCTTGGAAATAGGACTCATCCAATATATTGCATTTGCTGATTATATTGCATTTTTTTGTTGATTATACTGTATTTGTTGCAATTTTGTTTGATTTAAAGACATTCTTACATTAGGAATTATATGTTTTTTGCTTATTTCTTATGTTTTCATATTACAGGAACATACGAAACAAGTTTTCACTTTTTTCATTTTACAAGAAAATATGATTTTTTTTTTTTTTTTTTTTTGCTTATTATATAGTAACAGGTTATTATATGAAAAAATAAAAAGAAATTTAAAATTTTTTTGATTCCTTGGTTTGAACCAAACAGTTACAAAGGTAATCAATGAGCAGTACATTCCGTTTCCTTGGACATAACCAAACAACCAGGCCAAATTAAAGGAATTCCTTTCCTTTCTCCTTCATTCCCTTTCTGAATTCCATTCCGATTCCCCTGTGCGAACCAAACGGACCCTAAGAAAAGTGAGGTTCACATGATTTATTAAAGGTGAGAGGTTGTTATAATTATAATTTAGTGGGTCATGTACTTTAACTTCGATGTTTCTACTGTCTCATTTTTCAAAAAAGGACACCATAACATGCTGACGTGGCATGTGATGGTTGGTCAATTTTACCTTTATTTTTAAAAGCTAAAATGAATAGTTATATATGTATAATTGTATATACATGTATTTTTTTTTGTAAAGAATACATAATTATATTATTTGAAAATCTATTTTATTTTTGAAAATCATTTAGAAAATTAAAGTGGAAAGCTAAACGTCGCCCTCAAATATCTAACTAACGCCCGCAAATAAAATATATTTTACAAATTTACCCTTGTATTTAAAAAAAAAAATTTACCCCCCTCAAACATAATTTACCCACCCTCACTACCTCTTCTCTCTCTAAACCACCACCACCACCTCCTTTTACCACCCACTACTACCACCACCACCGCCTCCTTTAATCTTCGGTTTCTCGATCTACACAGCCGCAGATATGACGAGGAAGGACAAGGGGAAGGCGGTCGCCGAAGACAAGGTTTGTTTTTTTTTTTTTTCTGAAATCGGGTTCAAACGCCCTGTTTTTTCGAACAACCTAGGCTCAAACGCCTAGTTCATTCGAACAACCGTATGGTTGTACGAAAGATCTGGGTGGTTGAGATGAATCGCTTAGAAAATTCAAACAACCACAACAATAAAAAAAAAATCGAAACCCAGGAAAACGCCTAGGATTTTCAGAAACCCTAGGCTGAAACGCCCAGATTTATACCCTCCTACTCTCCTCTCTTTAACTCAAATTTTCCTTGTGCGAATGTTTTATACCCTTTCATGAAATAACATACAAATTATATCAATAAAATTGGATGTTTTATTTCTTTTGCAATTCATATGCTAATTTCCTGTAATCTCAGATGTACTAAGTATAATAAATGGGATGGGTTTACAGAGGATAAAACAAGATTAGCTGAAGCCTAAAACTTAAACTGTAGTTGTGATATGTTGGCCCCTCAGCAGTCAAGGAATACCACCTCATAGACCTCATTGTTCTGGACTACACTCTGACTATAACGAGTCGCTTGTCATGAGCTCGAAATCAAGTGATGAGATATGCCTACAAGAGGGTATGTTCATGGCGGATACTCATTGACCAATTTGATTACCTTGTTACAATGATCAAGAAGCCTCAAAGAAGAGAAAATAATTAAGGGTACCGCGAACCTGTCTATGGTTGTTGTAAAGAATAGTCAGGATCAAGATGGTGAACTGGTTCATTTCTACAGGCCACATTTAGATCCTATCCCTATCGCTGTGCACCCATTTTTAGCTCTCAAAGGTGACCCTCTTGCAGTTGGCTGTTGATCCATGTATGGGTGCAAGTGAAAGAATTTATAGGGTTCAAGAGATAATAATTTCTGATTTCCACAACTGAGTACTCATGCTGGCCTGCTGGGATGACACGATCAATAATGAGTCATGTATGCCCTTTGAGTAGACCTGGCGCGCTACCTCTTGAGAGTCTTAGCGAAAGAAACTGCGAGTGGCACAGCCCATTGTGTGAGACCTGTTGTGTGTAGAATGTAACATGGTGCAAACCTTCCATAGGGTTCATCTCTCTGTAACATGATTCATACTGTCTTCCACAAGACTTGAAAAAGTTGAAATGCCCCATAGACCGCATTTCCAAGAAAACTTCGAGGTATGCACCCTCTTGGTTAAACAAGCTCTTAGCAAGTTTTAATAACTAATGAAATTGTTTCCTATGATAATAAACGTTTAATAATCTTATAAATTTGCTGAATAGAACAAATATGTAACCAGCGCCATCAAAATTGTCGGCATCATATTGTTGCATGATTAGTGAAATTATAATACAGGAAGCCTTGAACATGTTTAAACACGAGATACTATTGGAGAGGACGATTACCAATATACAAGATATCATTCGCGCGTGCTTAAATGAAGTTGATTTTCAACTCTTAGACAAACTGGAAACTTGTTCTGCTTTACAAAACTCGAAATTGACAAAAGAAAACAGGGGGAGGGGTTAATCTACAATGTGCATAGCTGGTGATTTCCCAGATTGTCCACTTCACACAATGATATCTTTTCTCAGTTCTACAAGCTAGACTCGGTTCAATTGTTGCTCTCTGCGGAATTTACTGTAATCAGTTATCAAATTGCTGTTGACCTTGTCTTTCATGTTCTCAACAAGTCCCCTCAGCACCTATAAACAACAGGTTTAATTTTCTTAGTTGATATGTACTTTTTTTTTTTTTTTTTTTTACTTGCAACATTTCAATAGTGTACACTATTTTACATACTCAACTTCAATTACATTTCACGATTTATAGTTAAAGAAAACAGTCATATGAGATATTGTTAGATTCGCCTCAATGCCTACATTATTAAAATATAATATTTATAAATTTTACGAATGCAAATTAAAGATAGAAACTATTAAAGTTATGCATGGACAAACGTGAAAAAACAGAAATTTTGCTACTTGCAAGCAAAAAAAAACCGGTGGAAGTTTGTGAAAAGCTGTTATTCTATGATGCTTGAACTAGTCGTTTCAGCTAAAGTAATCTTGACAGATATTCCTTGTTGTTTCAGCATTGAGTTGGTACGTAGGAAGTAACTTCTTATTTTTGTGTCTGTATAGTAAGTTATTAACCTCGGACACATACAAGCATATCACAGAGTCCCTTTATAGTTTATGTCCAACAATCATGTTTGAGTCTGAACATCATAGTTGAATCATTGTAACAATTAAACCTTATATTTTTCAGTAAGGTAAAATAAGTTTAGGAGACTAACCGCTTCTGAGACACCTCGGAGAACATCTTCAGGGACCATGGCGAGAACTGGCGGGAGAATAACACTTATTTTCATCTCCAACTGACCCTTCAATCTGCTTCTTACCCCTCGTCTATCTGAATATAAAATTCCATTAACACTGAGACTAAACTGATCTGGTTCCACCACATTATCTAGCCCTTGAAGCTCCCATCTCACCTGCATAAGAGTTAATAACTAGTGATACTCCCTTAGTTTAAAGCAAACAAAATCAGCAGATCTAAAGAGACAAAAAAATAATAAAGGATCAAGTTCTTCTATTCATGAGGTGTTTATAACGAACAATGTCAAGCTCAAGAACTTTAGAGATGACAGGTGGAATCCCTGATGGATAATCTTTGCCATTTGTTATACACCTTAACCTCATGTCTACAACAGGCGATACAGTAAAGAAGAAAAACTGTATGGGTAGCATGTGTACTCTCCATTCTCCCTACAAAAAGCAAAGAAAAACAATGAGGTCAGAAGAAAGGAAACCTAAAGTTGGACAATCGTAGTTTAGACGACAAACAAATATAAAATCCTGAATTACATCCCCTGTAAAATGTGAGACCTTAATACTACGAATTGTCAAAAGCTGATTTGGTTGAAAAATAAGGATGCCATTCAACCTCAGAACCAACTAAACTATGGAGTAAATCTTATTCTCTAACCATGGCATACAAGACTATCAGTTTAAAATGGAGCCATGAAGGCCCATACATATCTGCAGATCGAGACTGACATTCAAAATTTCCAGAAAGGCGTTTATAAAAGAGGCATCCATCTGGAAAATGTTCAATGATTTATTATGTAAAGGTTCTAGGGTTGGCACTGATTAATTAAGCCTTATGCTATCAACAATATGCTGGGAACTACAAAAAAGTCTACATAAGATAGCTAATCATCATGCTCGCTGGGAACTACAAAAAAGTCTAAATAAGATAGCTAATCATCATGCCGCTGGGAACAGAAGCTTAAGCTAACAGATAAAATAGTAGCAGCAGAGAATTAGAAACCTTTTATTCTTTTATCACGACTATAATTTTCTCACAAGACTACACAATTACAAGCACACACAGCAATTATGCAATTGATCACAATCATGTGTCGTGGTCTTTTCAATGATTAGAATTCACACCCAAGGTTGTTACGATCGCGATACAAGGGTATAATATCCAATATGCATGTCACAACTCACAACAGAAATTGAAAAGATTCGAACATCCCTCCAATTCATACAACACTATTACGAAGTATTTTCTTTATCTATGATATGCAAATGACTCCAAGGTCAAGATTTTCAAAGGCCGTCGAACATATGATAACATCATAAGTCAATACACAATAATTCAATTCCACACATAACCCAAAATGAACTCTACATACAAAGACAATATTCACTGTTGCCAACACAAATTAAATATTACATACTCGTAGTAATATTTCAACCAACTAATATCTCCTCGACAATATTGAATATACCGATTCCAATTTCCACGCAACCCATACACTCCATTTATTACCACACCTAGGTTGCTTAGAGCATCCACAATGGCTAGCTACATGTACATGTAGCTTTGGGTTACCACATCATTATTCCCCAAGCTACATGATTTAAGCTACAACCCCTACAATGGCAAACTACTTACTTTTGTAATAAATAAACCATAAAAAAATAAAAAACAAATACATAACAAATATTAACCAACACAATATATGTGCATTGGGTGGAGGACCGGAGGAAACTACATAGCTTTATAGAGTTACGTAGTTTGGCCTTATCTACAACCTATGTAGCTCCACAATGGCTAGCATATAGCTCTAATTATTTAGGAATTGCAAGCAAGTCCATTTACGCAACCATTGTAGATGCTCTTAGGGATCGACGTGACATCCATCGTCTCAACTGAAAACTACGATTTAATGATCTAAGACCATGCAATAATTACTCAAGTTACATGGACATTACATTATTGTAGACAATATTGTATAATTGGCTCATCATCTACGGAGCGAGCCCCAGTTCCTCTTATTGATAAATGCAAGAAATGGCAAACTTGTAAATAGATATTCTAAAATTTGCATAATTCATGGTAGACCCGCTACCTAAAACCGCTGATGGTACTAGCGATTCTAACATGAATAGCGCAAATTTTGGGATAAAACCACTAGTGTTAGCGGTAGTACACATTTTAGTCTATTTATTTACAAGTTTCATTTGAGAAACATCTTTCGTCCATGAAACTTGAAATTACTCTTATCTACTATTCATTTTACCTCGAACACCCAAAATTGTGGAAAATCTTCACAAAATAGTTGCATTATTGATAACATAAAGTTAATACCTCATTAATTTGTTGGCATCTTTTTTTATCCGGAAAAATTGCTCTAAAAACTCTGGGTTTATCCTCTAAATACCGATCAAATGTAGCCTGCAAAAATAAGTAAAATACCCAAAAACCCAGAAAATTAGTATTAATTTCGTGATAAATTAAAAAATAAAATAAAAAAAATTACCCCAGGATTTTCGTAAAAGGGAATATCAGTGGAATTCCGGGAAGTGTAAGTTGAAGGGCGTTGATTCACAGCCTGGCACTTGAATCTGATTGGCTGCTGTGACTTGAATTTGCTCACTGCATGGCACGCTAGAAACGCCCTGCTTCCTTGTTTTTCACTTAATTGAGCATTAATGTGAATTATACCTGGAAAATTGTGATTAGGGATTACTGCAGTTTCAGCCATTGTTGAAATTCTTGGCAATTTTTTATTTTATTTTTGTTTTTATTTTAGGAAAGGAAGGAAGAAAGAAATCATGAGTTTTTTCTGTTCAAGGACGATAAGTGGAAATATGAGTGTAATCATACGTTATAAGTTGATTGGACAACATGGCAGCAGGGAGCCACGTGGATTGATGTTTATATTTGATTATGTAGAGATGTTAAAAACTAATCCAATCCAAATAACTCAACATAATTTGAAGCAGCTTGAAGCCGAATGCATTATATTTTTCAGTTAGGGGTTAGCAAACCGGGTACCCGGTCAAAATTTTAGGATCCGGACCCGGAATTGGTTGGGACCGGATCCTAAATTTTGGAACCGGTACAACCGGGTCCTAAAAATTTAGGAATTGGAATTGGTTCCACCGGGTACCCACTTATATATATAAGTGTTGAAATATAATACAAATCATAATATTTTTTTTGGTTTATTTTTACTTTTAGCGTTTAATACTTATATTTTTATATACATTAAGCTATTTTAATTATATTAAATATTAATATTATTTTTTTATTTTACTAATTAGTTACATTCAACATATTTTTGTTTTCTTAAACATATTTTGTACAATATATGTTGGATAACCGGTATAGTAGAGCGAGAGAAAAATCTAGAAGTTTTAGGATTTTGTTTGATAGTGGGTTGAGAGTTTTATAAGCAATTGGGCTTAGAAATTAAAATGGGCTGTACATAACTCTTTAGTTTCTTAAAAATACAAACAATCCACATACTATATCATATACAACCGGATACCCAGTGGGTACCGGGTCCAAAATTTTAGGATTTGGAACCGGAACCGGTTAGAACCGGGTCCGAAATTTTGGACCCGGTCCCGGAACCGGTGAAACTAGTTCTGGGTCCGGACCCGGCGGGTCCTAACCGGTTCCGGGTCCGATACCGAATACCCTGGATCTTTGCTCACCCCTAGTTTCAGTAAGGTTAAGCCGTTGAGTAGATCTGGAAAAATTGTTATTGCCTGACCCCAAATGACTCGATCTAATTAGACTTGATCGGAATTTAACCGATAATCTCTATATTAGATTAGCGATGATTATTGTGCGAAGTAGTTGTCAACATAGTGAGTCAATTCATCATGTAGAATTGTAGATTAGGTAAATTGACGTGAATTTAATTATTGGATTCAATCTAAATTAATTTTATAAGGAATTTTTATATTAGGTGGCATTTTCTAACTTTGCATGTCTCAAGTTTTGATATTTTCGCTTTAGTTACTTTAGTTTTGCAATATTGTTAGATTTTTAATTGAAAGATTTTTATATTTCATCTAAATATTTGGGTCATATTTAGTTCACCTTATTTTTATTTATTGAAAAATTTAACAAGAATAATCCAACCTTTATTGCATTCTCTCAAAATAATCTCACCTTTAAATTAGTCCTGAATAATCCAACCTTTATTACCCATTTTCTCCTAACAAACCTTCGTGACCGGTTACCTAGAGATCAGGTAAATTTTTTTTTTCCTTTTTTTTTTTCTCCTCTTGTTCTTTCTTCCTTCTACCTCCTTACTGACATCAATGGCTGGATGCAGCCCCAACCATGAACAATGGCTTCCCCTCTCTCTCCTCCTCTCTCTTCAATGCCTTTCCACCTTCAAACACAACAAACCCATCGTCTTCCTTTGATCCCACAATCACAACCAACCACCACTCCAACTTCTCCTCCGACCACCACACAGTACTGCTACCCACCCCATCACCGCCCAATTTGGCTGAAAACCACCTCAAAAGCCCAAAACCCCAACCAATTGCAATACTAGTAAAACCCAAACCCCTACAATTTTAAATTTTTTTATACGAAAGTGAAAAAATCCTAAATTGAAATCTGGGTTTGTTTTAGAACTATTTGTTGATTTTTTTTTATTGATTGATTGAACAAAGTGGGTGATTGCTTCCTGGAGTAGTTTCATTATTGTTGGTGTTGGGAAGTTGATGTTAGTGAATTATGTTGGTTGGTGATGCTAGGAAAAGTGGTTGTGGGTCGGTGGTGCAAGGAAGTGCCGCTAGTAGTGGTGGTGTGTGCTCTGTGCTCATGGTAATGGTCGGTGCAGGATTTGGTGAGGTGGTGTGGGTGATATGTTGGTGGCTTGATTGTTGGGTGGGGGTTGGTCATAGTCATGACCGTGGTTGTGGTTGTGGGTGGGTAATGTTGGTTGATAATGGTGGGAGTAGTTTTTTTTTTCCTTATCTGGGCGGAGGAAGTACGGCATGGTGGATGTTAATAGTGACCATGGAAGTGGCAGTGGTGGATGGGGTTAATGGTGGCCACGAAAGGTGACAGGAGATATAGGAACAAGGAGGAGAAAGAAGAAAGGAGTTTTTTTTTTAATAGAATTAAAAGATTAAAATTAAAAATTTAACCAATATGGAGCTGACACGTGGATTGGCAACTGATTGAATGGGTAAGGTGGGATTATTCCTAAATAATCCAAAGATAAAATTATTTTGAGAGAATGGAGTAAAAGTTGGATTATTTTTATTAAATTTTTCTTATTTATTTCACTTCCAATTAGAAAAAATAAGTTCTAACATCCTTTATCGTATTATATGAGTTTTTTTTTTTTTTTTTTTTTTTTTTTTTTTTTTTTTTTTTTATCGCTAAATACCTTTAATTTCATTATTGAAAAAAATTATGAAAATCACATATTCCCTCCGTTTCGTAATAACCGTAGCACTTTTCTTATTCATCTGTTTCATAATAAGTGCAACACTTTCTTATTTGATAAGGACCCAGTAATATTTTATTTTCTCTTTCCAACCAACCCCACTAACACTATCTTTTTATTATTTGTCTCTCCTATTTGTAATTAAATATATCAACACTAGCTACACTTTATATTATAAAATTTCGCATTTGATCTCACCCTATAATTTTCCTAAAACTTTGTGTCCTTCCTAGTGTTGCGATTATTACGAAACAGAGGGAGTATTAATTAAATATATATTTTACCGATCTAATTTTTTGTGTATGAATTAGCGTACATATAAGCTCAAAGTTTAATAAATAAGACCATCTAATCAAATAAAAAAAAACGTATTATATTCAGATCAAATCAAATTAGAAAAAATAAGTTTTATATAAGATCTGATTAGTAAATATAAGGAGAACTAAACTTGCCCTTGACTACAACAACAAAAAAAATTCAAGATATGGAGTAATATCTTAATGTTCTAGAGTCATTTTGACAAAACTTCAGTACTTCACCACAATCCTCCAAAATCCTAATACATAAAAGCGATGCATTAAAACATATTTATACCAATAAAATCGTATTTTATGAGAATTCAAGGGATTCCATTATTTAATACAAAGTACGGAATACTGTACTTTATATTATTTTCTTTCACAAATAATATATCCCGTGTATTAGCACATGGTACATTTTAGTAATATGAAAATATATAGATAAAATTTAAATTTTTAAGTGTGAAGCAACATACTGTTATGAAGTTAGTAAAATATAAATTTGACTTGACTTTAGCATTATTCAGATAATCACATACTCATTTTTTTATTTTATTTTTTTACCAATGTTAGTGTTTTATTTTTATTAATTTTTACAAAAAATGTTATTGTAGGGTGTTTTATATTCGTACATAAGAATAAACATAGTCATGTAATACATGCTATAGTCATTGCAATAAATAGTTTTCGAATATCAAACTTTTATACTCATAATTAATACTACCTCTATTTTGTTAAGTGTTACTTAGTTACTATAAGTCTGTAACTACGCAAACCAAGAAAAAAGTAAAAATGAAGACCAAACATGCGAGTATTTTTGTGTTAAAGAAGAGATAGAGATTTAAGAAATTTATTAAATAAATTTGGACCCCACAAAACAAGGTTGTGGATGATAAAAAATAAAAAGCAGATGAAAGCAAAAAGTGAGTAAGACTTGGAAAACTGAGAAATTGTAAGATAGATTATTTATTTGTCAAAGTTTGCTTTGGGTATTTGCCTGTCAAAATAAAACACTTCTAGTTGATAGGATGGAAGTCAGTCGTTCCCACCACATAGCAAACCAGTGTCGGGTTTCTTTTAATAATTTCTCTTTTCCTACTGTTTTTGATGTTTTTAGGTTTCCTGCTCTCATGTATTTTCATTTTTCTGCTGTTGTCAAAAAAAAAAAAAAAAAAAAAACTTGAAAAAATAGAGGGATTAACTTTTGTTTTAATTTATATACTTGTATTTGCTATTTTTCATAAGGGTAAAACTTCAGTTCACATTATTTGCATTCCAGATGACTACTACTGCAGATCATCATTATATTACAGGGCAACTTCTACAGCTGCTTTTACAGAAGCTATTTCCTGAAAATTCCCCACCCAGTAATCCCAGTATATTCATTTACAAGGGCCTCCAAATACATTCATCTGATAACACAAACACCTTCAATGATATAGCTTTATAGATAGACTTCGAATAAGGAGCCTTTAAGCAGAGTAAGGTATTCTTATGCCCATTCTCTGGGCTAACCACGACCTTTGTGGATCAGGATCCACGTAAGTATGGACAAGAAATTGCATTGCTTCATCGTCCATCAATTCTCTTGCCCACCCAATCCGCTTTGATTGACAACATCCCGGTCCGAAACACCTTTGTCATGCACAAACATGTCAAATTGTTGGTTAGTATCAACATTTATCAGAGAGAGCATCAAATTTCAAACAAAAGGTTTCCTAGTCTCTAGTTACTGTTTGGTGATGCATAGCCAACCAAAATTTCCACCTGATTCAAGCCGAGCATTGCATGGACACTTTCTTGGATATCAAAGCAAAACTACGGTTTGCTTGGTGGCGTTTCTTGGAGTCTAAACTACTTTCTTTAATTTTCTTTACTTAGATTTTGCTTACAAGTTTTTACCTTTCACTTGAAAGGGTTTTTCTTGGTTCAAGCATTAGGATCTTTAAGCTTTTAATTAGTTTCTTCAAGTTAGGAGTTAGTTAAATTTGTTTCTTTAATTAGCTTAATTAGGCGTGTGTTTAGGCGTGTAATTAAGAGCTTGGTGAGCAAGCTTGATTAAGATAGGATTTGGTTTGTTTTAGGAAACTAAGCAAATCTTATCCTAGGGCTAGTTAGAGTTCTAGTTGGATTAGATAACTAATCAAATTATATCTTAATTGATTAGTTATGTAAACCTTGTGTACTAAGCTTGCGGTTCAAGGATTTGTTTCCTTGTTCTCCAAGTTGGTTTAGAAGTCTAGTTTGCTTAGGATTAAACTAGGGAATTGTCCTAGTCTTCCTAGGAGAGTCTAGCCTATAAAATATGTTTGTAAGCACACGAATTTAATCAGATTATTACTGCATTGTTGAGTTTAAACACTTCAGTTCTAATTGATGGATTTCAATTGCTGTTTTGCTTGTTTTAGTTAAAACATTTGTTTAGGTTGATTAATTAGGTGGATTCTAAGTTAATTAATCTAGTTTCTTGTTTAATTCTTGGTGGACTTTCCTATATAGAATTAAGCTTGATTCATATCCTTGTGTGTTCTAGTTTTAGGACTAAAATTCACATCACCACCCAAATAGTTGTTCTTTTTGAGAGTACTAAATACTAATAAAGAAGTTTCTGTCTTGGACAGTTGTATTTTGGTATAAATTACACCACCAAAACTAGAAGGTGCAAACTCTGCAAATTGTAAAATCCAAGCAAATTCACAATCTTGACCAGGAACTGTTTCCTCTTCTATGCTACAGCTTCAAGGATTTTTTTTTTTATTTTTAAATAAACAAGTAAGCAAAAAATATTAAAGACTTACTTCCACTATCCCTAAATAATAGGCCACATTTCTATAGTAAATTGTACCAAATTAAACAGTCTACTTTCTTGATTTAGCAAATTAAACTTTGTACCATATTAAACTTAATGATATTCTTCAAAAAAAAAAAAAAAAAAAAAAAAAAAAAAATCTTAATGATATCCACCAAGATTATAAGTTAAAATAGTGAGGTATTGAGTTCTTATAAATAATCCCCCAACTAATTGAGTGGCCTTTTACAGACAGGGAGTTTTATGGTGCCGAAATGACATCTTGTTAATGCTAAATTTATGTAAAAACCTTGGGATTTTATGGTAGCAGAACCAAAATTTTGATTCATAATCAGAGCTTGTAAACTGTATTAGAAATACAATTAATGAGTTCCCAGCCATACTTGTCAGATGAAAAGTGGAATTAAGTAGCTGAACAAACTATATTCAGTTGACAATCTCGGCTAGCACATGAACTTCACTACATGTCCATACATACGTGCATCATGAGATTATCATCAATACAAAACAGAGGCTCTAAATGTAGCGAGTAGACATACCTGTACTCATAAAAGCAAGCACTTCTTTCATTCTCACACTTTCCCCAATTATGCCAACCCTCATGCCTAACACACTGGTCCATGTAAGTGTATGCATAAACCACCCTTCCAAAAGGTCCCCATGGCCGCCCAAGATATGCATATGATGCCTTCCCATTGCCGGTGATCACACATCTGAAAAAGAAAGTTGCAAACTGTCGCTTTTAGAAATATATACAGGACTACAGATGGTGCAAAACTTATAAGAGACAAACCAGTATGCTGCAAGAATTAGAACCATCCTTGATAAACTATTTTATGCAGGGAACTGAAGCAACTGGATTGAAATTTCAAGCCTCAGCTCCAATATGTTGTTCAGGGTGTAGACCATTCCAAATATGTTGTAATTAAATTTCATTTCTACTTTTAACTACTGGACTCTAACAATTTTGTCTGAATTGGGGAAACTGGAAACTGAAATGTGGGCTCAGTTCATGGATTAATGGATATATGTTGGAAGTTAAATTGTCTAATGTTTATGAAACTATTTCTCCAATAAATGAGAGAAACATTGCCTAAAAAGAAATGATGTACGATGTATACAATACAGGATAAGGGACCCTATTTATGGAATGTGTTTCTGGCACATGATTGCAAAGAGTTGAAAAGAGATTCACTACCCAGCAGAGGACTTAGGAGGTTCACAGAGATAAATCTTTAAAATTTCTTGTAAAACTACTGAAGTTCAGAGGCAGCTTCTTCTCTATTAGTTTATTATCCACCTGAACTATAAATGCTATTTGTAGGTATCAGTTACCGAGTGAGAAGCTGTATAGCTATCTCTGGCTAGTGAAGATTCTGTTGCTTAACCTTTCCTAGAAGGTAAAGGGAATAAGTATTGCTGCTATTCTAATACATATTTAGGGTTGGGTTTAATTGAGCTTAGGTTGCTAAATCAGTAATGTATCATTCATTTTTGGTTTTAATATACTTTGCACAATGACAGCCAAACAAACAAACAAAAAAAGATGTAATCTCTTACAGTGGAAACTAAACTTAAGTGATTATTTCAGCATCACAAATTTGAGAAATCTGATACATAAAGAAAGGCAACAATTAACACAATAAATCTAGGGTCAATGCATTATAACATCTGTTATAAATTAATCAGAGCCTATGTGCTTATTTAGATTGTATTACATTGTAAAGACTAAGATAGACCTATTCCAGGTCATAATCAGTTATATAACCTTCATTTTTTAGTGTGTCTCCGAAGGTTATGTACCCAAATAAAGGACTTTTAAGTTAATTGCATTCATATTCAAATTGACTAGCCAGTAGCAACGTTTCATCTAGTATGTTACTCAGACCCTTCATTTTACCAAGATCTTGGAAACTCATGCACATATAGAAATCCTTTACACTTCATTTTGGACCGAAATCATGGAGCTCATGGAGTACAATTTTTCATATTCTTATATATGTTCAAATAAATTTTGGCAAGAGAAAAAAAAATAGCAAAGAACAAGGGAGAGAAATAGTTGCCATTAAAAGCAAAAGGCAAACATGTATCAGCAAAAAAAGTAAATCCTACATCACCCAGCGACAAGTAAATGGGTCCTTGCACTATAATTCAAATTCTAAACAAGACATACAAAAGTCCATAAAATAAATTATACTTTGAATACTGACAACTAGACCTGGTTATTGGGTAGGGTAGCCCAATGATAATAGGATCAAGGCCAACCTTAAAGGGCTCTTAATGGACAAGGCCTTTAATGGACAGGCCCTTATTAGGTAGGGTTAATATGGGCCAAAATAGTTGTCTAATTTAATTGATAAAGAAAATAGGTAATGTAAAAAATATTACATAGAGAAAATATTTTCGTATTCATATATGCTTTTTTTTTTTTAAGAAGTCTTAAATGATAGTACTATATTTCATTAATTAAAGTCATACGACATCTACAATTGATAATTAACGATAATGAAAACAGATCTAATAAAATCAAACAAGAATAATCGGCGAAGGCCTAGGAACCTAAATACATAAATATAACAATTCGGTACATTATCGATTCGTTGTCTCATACAAATTTTTGAGTAAATCCGTTGCCGCTTAATAATTTTGTGAAAAAGAAAATTCTTTTGCTGTTTTTGTAACCCGAGTTCGAGCAATAATCAATCGTAGTCTCGTACAAATGGAGACCAATAAACGCAAATAACACCTTGTCTTTCGAAAGAGATCGATGTTTTTCGAAGGAGATAAACCCTTTCTTTTGAGGGGGACATTATTATAACCTAAGAAACAAAAAAAACTTAAAAGAAACAAAAATTGGGGCTTCCAACGGGCTTTCCACGGGTGAAATCTGATGAAAGCCCCTTTGAAATTAACAATGGAGGCTAGAGTTTAGGAGAGAGAAGAGGAGGCCAGGGTTTTTTTTGTAAAATATCAGTTTTTTTTGGTACATTGTTTATCAAAATCTCGTATTCATATATACTCAATAATGGCTTTGTCCAATATTTAATTTAATCGATAGTTTGTTGCCCGCCCATTATTGACCCACGACCCGCTATTGGCCCTATAAATTATGACCCTCTTCGACCCGACTCGCAATCGACCCTAACCCGACCCTCCCAATAACTTGGTCTACTAATGACTAATCAACGGCTCAAAATTGGGTTTCAAGGAGATACAAAAAACTGAAAGAAATAGATGCCAAAATAAATCATCTCTAGCCACAAAATGAAGGTATATGCACCTCCACCCAGGACAAATTTTTTTAATTAATATTCATTTTATATCTCAATGTGTAACACGGATTTTTAAATAGCAGATGAACTTAAAAGAAGCTTCTCGGTTACCTTAGAAAAACATAACCAGTGGTCTCTAGCGATGACTTCCTGCTTTGTGCAGTTATAAAACCCTCTGACTTGCAGTGAATATGGCAATGCTCCAATAAAGCAGTACTATTCCCAAAGATAAAGTCTACACTTCCTTCAACATAGCAGTCTCTTAAATACTGCTTCCCATGATGCAAATACAAAGTATCCTGATAACAAAGCACAAAAGGGGCAATAAATTCTTCTTGGGTATTCTCAAGTAACCAAAAATAAGGATAACAAAAACTAATTTCAGAGGCAGAAATTCTAATTAGAATGATCTTCAATCCATAGTCCACCTTGAACATCCTTAAGAGCTTAAGTACACAGGATTAACCATAGAAAAATATGTTCCCTTCTTTCATCATCACAAAAATTGGACTTTGCACTAGTCAAATAGCCATATACTTAGCTTTGACCACAAATTATACTAAGAATTAACAAAATAACTTGGTTGGTCTCAACATAAATTCTTCAAATTATCAAATATATTGAGTTGACAAACGTAAAACTTCAAAAGTTGCAATTATTAATGAACCAAGGAAGTATTTATTAACTTCATCAGCTATACCCCATGTGACCCTAACCCTACATCAGTTAGGAAGCATACCCTAGCATCCATTGCAAGGCACAGACCTGGTGCCTCTCACAAAACTCCACTAGATAAAAGGGAAACAATCTTTAGTATCCTTGACCAGAAACTACCAGTTGGCTAGACTTCACACAAAGCATAATTTTTTTTTAATTTTTTATCAAATATGATTATTCAAGCAATCAAATATAAAAGTCTCAGTCTTGCAACCCTATATAATGAGTATTTACTCTCTGTCAGACCCTTGATTACAAAAGCATCAACATAGTAGAGGTAGAATTGCATGATTTCCTGATATAATTCCTACAGTGCAGCAACCAAAATGCACACATTTGATAAGCGACATATTCTAATTGTGGCTATCAAATTGATTGTTTTTTTACACTAGGACATCATTCTAGCACATGCTAGCTTAGGCAGAGCAACACTTCTTTTAATCGCTATCACACTTAATAGTTAGACTGCATTCTAATACAGTGCTAAAAAACACAGAACTGTTAATACCATCATTGCAGCTTCAAATTCTGAGATGGACATTACACCTTGATCAACCAGTGATTGTTACAAGTACAATAGATCAGTTCTAACAAAGTAACAATAGAGAGTAATCTGTACCTGCCACCCTAAGAACCTGCAATTGTAAAATGCACAACGATCCGCAGTCACCCTAAGCGCCACCGCTTGTCCTGATCCCTACAACAAACAATCCAAAAAAAATATAATATGAAGTACTTCACCTCGAATAAATTTCATGTCCCTTTACCTCAAATATAGTCATACCTCTTTTTCTTCCAATTTCACATTTTATAACCATACATGTACAACTCAACAAGCTCAACTTTGACAAAATATAAACACACTCTACCACTAGAATTATTCCCAAAAAACCGACAACTCGAAATGAGTATCGAAACCTGACCCTCAATCACATATGCTTGATTCAACAAAACTCAGTATTCAAGTTCAAACAACATATTAAAAAAATAGACAGTAAATTGTTACCTGAGGTGCAGAATTCTCAAATGTAATATTCTCAGCTATAAAATCCTCCCCTTCAACAATCACACTCCCACATCCAAATGTTCCTGTTCCAATCAACCTTGATGCCTGCTCATAAATTAATCAAAACAATTCCCAATAAATAAAACCCACAAAAATTTAAAAATAAAAAAATAATAATAAAAAAAAGTCCCAATTAAAATAAAATTAAATAAACCTGGTGATGTTCAATTTTAGTAGCAGTATTATTCCAAGAAAGAACAGTTTGTTCAGGAGACAACCCCGCGAAAGTGATGAAATTCTTAGTCTTGGGTACATAAACAGGCTGTCTGTAAACCCCAGGTGACAGACGAATGATGGTGCGACGCGTGTTACCAAATGGGACAGCATCAACAGCCTGTTGCACCGTGCTATAATCTCCACTACCATTTTGCGCCACTGTTATCACCACCGCGGATGCGGCGCCTGAAGCCGCCATTCCCTCTCCTCCTTCACCTGTTTTTTTTTTTTTTTTTTTTTTCGGGAAAAAATGGTTTGTATAAAATGGAGGAGAGAGAATCGAATCCCGAAAATGGTGGGAATGAAATGGAATGGAATAGAGGTGCGGAGAGTAAACGCAGGGAAATGGAATGGAATTGGGAAAGATGGAGATGATCGAATTTTAGCTATTTTGTCGGGTGTTTGTGGAATCTAGGATTTTTTATTTTTTTTTTTACTAATTTTTTTTATTATGTTTTTAACTGCTGGATAAAAGTTTAATTAATTGGAGTAAGGCAAATGTACGTTAATTTTATTGCAAGACGTTTAACTATTTTTATCGTAACTTTAACTCTTTAAAGGGTAACTTTTAGGGGTGGGACTTCGGTCTGTCAGTTCGGTTTGACCTCGGTTTGAGTCGGTTTCGGTTTGGAGCGGTTCGGATTGAAACGGTTTAGTTTAGCTGGCGGGTCGGTTTGGTTCGGTTTGGGTTAGTCACGGCTCGGTTTGGTTTCGGTTTATTTCTTTGCGGTTTAAATTCGGTTTGGGTCATAAGCGGGTCGGTTTATAAACGATTCGGATTATGTCGGTTCGGTTTGATACGGGTCGGTTTAAGGGGCGGGTTTACCCGGGTCAATGTCAGTTCGGTTTACAAACGGTTTGGATCAAGCCGGTTTGGTTTGAAATGGGTCGGTTTAGGGGCGGATTTACCCGGGTCAATATCGGTTCGGTTTATAAACGGTGCGAATCATGTCGGTTCAGTTTGAAATGGGCCGGTTTAGTAGAGGGTTTACACAGTTCAATTGGTTCGGTTTATGAACGGTTTGGATCATGTCGGTTCGGTTTATAAGCGGTTTGGGTCATGAATTGAATTCATGATTGTTTTAAAGATCGCGTCATGGCCATGATTTAATGAGTTGATACTTATAATACGATAAATCGATAATTAAGAATGTACAAATATTCAATTAGATTGATCAATAAGTGTTTTAAACTTTTAAGTTTTAATAATCAGATATGTAAATATGTTTATCGATTGTAGATTTGTAGTACATACCAATAATTCAATGAGGCAATGATACTTATGATAGTATGATAATGATACCAACCATACATTCGTACGATATGATATACATAATAATTAATCTATAATTACATATACATTAACAATATCGTATTGAATCAATTTCCATTTCCAAACATTGCATTTCTTATAAATTATAACTTACACGAGATTAAATGGATTCGTTATTTAGTTTGTTACTTTATTTAGATTACTAACTCAAACAACTTAATAAGTTAAATGGACGAAATCACGAAATCATGACCATGATTTAATGAGTTGATACTTATAATACGATAAATCGATAATTAAGAATGTACAAGTATTCAATTAGATTGATCAACAAGTGTTTTAAACTTTTAAGTTTTAATGATCAGATATGTAAATAACTAAATATGTTTATCGATTATAGTACATACCAATAATTCAATGAGGCAATGATACTTATGATAGTATGATAATGATACCAACCGTACATTCGTACGATATGATATACATCATATACATAATAATATAATTACATATACATTAACAATATCGTATTGAATCAATTTCCATTTCCAAACATTGCATTTCTTATAAATTATAACTTACACGAGATTAAATGGATTCGTTATTTAGTTTGTTACTTTATTTAGATTACTAACTCAAACAACTTAATAAGTTAAATGGACGAAATCACGAAATCACTAATTAAAGTGGTGATGAAAGCATTATGCAATACTAATGTACGAATAGTCAAATATACAACGGTTAGATTGAATGCCCATGAAAAACAATGGTTAGATTTTCATTACTTTATTAGTTATTAGTATTATTACTTATTAAGTTATTATTAGTTTTATAGTTTATTATATATACTGATATACAATCACAGACTCACAGATGTCAGATATTGTCATATTGATGAGCATTAAGCCATTAACTCATTAAGTCATTAACTATGTCGTATTGAATCAATTTCAATTTTGAAACATTTGCGTTTCTTACAATTTATAACTTATAAGTAATAAACTAATAATAATAATAATAATAATAGTAATAATAATAATAATAATAATTATAATAATATTATAATAATAGTAGTAGTAAACTAGTAATAATAATAATATTAACAAATAATTATACTAACATAATAATAATAATAATAATTAATTAAAAAAAACGGTCAAAAAGACCTAGAAAAGCACAAAGAAAATCTAGACCGTTAGATCTAGATGAATATTCTAGAATCTACAAAAAAAAAATGAACGGTTAGATCTAACTTAGATGTTGAGATTGAATATGGACGGTTAGATCAACTGAAGTAAAACCTAAACCTAGAAAAAAAACCCACTCTCACTCTCTCAGCCATTCTCATTCACTCATTCAGCCGTTTCTCTCTCAATCTCACAATCTGTCATAGTTTCTCTCTCTAACTTCTCAGTTTCTCACTCTTTCGTTCTGAAATTCTCAAGAATCTCAAGCTCAATTTCGTTTCATTTGTGTTTTGGATCTACATTTCTGATTTCTAGCTTTACATTCTCGTTTTTTTGTTAATTTTTGTTGTTTTCGTTTTGATTTTTTTCGTTTTTGTTCCGGTTTGTTTATTTAGGGTTTTTGTTTTCGTTTCATTTGTATTTTGGATCTACATTTCTGATTTCTCGCTTTACATTCTCGTTTTTTTGTTAATTTTTGTTGTTTTCGTTTTGATTTTTTTCGTTTTTGTTTCGGTTTGTTTATTTAGGGTTTTTGTTTTCGTTTCATTTTTGTTTTGGATCTAAGTTCTGATTTCTGATTTCTGATTTCAAATCTTCCTCTCCTTCAAGCTGTCAAACCCTAAGGTAATTTTTTTGTTAATTTATTCGATTTTTTTCGTTTTCGTTTCGGTTTTTTTATTTTTTTTATTTCAAGTTCTGATAATCTACATTCTTGATTTTTTCTTTTGATCTCCAGTTCAGGTAGTTCTCCATCTTCAAATCTCCTTCAAGCCGTCAAAGGTAATTACTTTTTCCTTTTTGTTTTTTTTTTTAATACAATTTTTCTGTTTTTGTATTTGATTATTGTTGTTGTTCTTGCTTGAATATAGTCGAAATATGCCTAAAATGAGTAAAATCTGTTGTTGATTGTATTTTTGTTTTTTACGGGAAAATGGTAGATTTGTGCTGTTTTGTTGTTTATTATGCTCGATTTAAAAGTAATGATGATGGGTTGTTCAGATTATGTGATTATTATTGTTGGAATACATGCATTGTTTATTTATTGGGATTTTAGCTTTATATTTTTAACCCATATTGTTGGAATACAAGCATTGTATATGATTGGCTTAAAGTTAGTACTTAAAATGTACACATATGTGACTGTATCGTATATAACTTTCTATATTCTGTTAGGATATATGTTGTAATCACGTTTGTTGTATAATTCTGAATTTTGAAACATTGACTAGTGCAAATAAAATTCTGAAATATGAACTATCTATTTAGTTGAATTTTGGTATTGAGTGAATAGGATTCACTGTCGTGACTTCAGTGTCAGTCACATGAGACAATGCATGCTTAATTGCTCACTATTAGTAGAATCTGTCACTTAATTTGGTACTTATAAGTTATAAATGCTGTTTTTTTTTTTTTGTTTCAGTCATGTCTCGCGAGTATGATGAATTTGACTATGAGAGGCAATCAAATTTTGATACTGTTAGCTCTCAAGCTGCCTCTGTCTCGGTTGATGATGCTAGTAATACTGCCACTATCAATCCTTCTGTTAATAAACGTCAAAGAACCGCAGGTATATGGAAGCATTACACTTTTTTTGTAAAGACGATAGGTAATGAAAATGTAGATTATGCTCGTTGTAATTTGTGTGGCAAAGAATATAAAGCACCTGGTAAAGCGGGTACTTCAACTTGTAGAGCTCATATTAATGCATGTTTAGAAAAGCATGGTCTCCAGTCCGGTAACGAATCACAATTTGATCAAAAAACTTATTTACAAAAGTTTGCTAAAGCTATAATCTGCCATGCATATCCTTTAAATATTGTGGAGCATGAATATCTTAGGGAACTTCATGCATATTTGAATCCTAAGGTGCAGCATTTCTTAAGTTTTTGTTAAAATAACCATTGCTCGGTGATGTAAATCTGAGAGCAATTTTAAAAAACAAAAGCTATAATTTTGAAGTTGCTTGAACTTGTTATGAGCTGCTGCCTGCTGGTAGTGCTTTTGCCTTTTGGTTGTTATCTCTGCTGAGTTGTTATTGCCTATATTGTTGCCTGCATGAGCTGGTTCCTGCCTCCTGCCAGCTTGAGGTGTTGTGTTGCTGCCTTTTGTGTTATGAATTTATGATAAGTTTTGTTGCTGCTGTTTCTTATGCTTGTTGTTTTAATTTTTCTTGAATCATCGTTGCCCTTGTCATTTATGTTGAGACTTCAATGTATATGTACTTGCTGGCAGCATTTTTCAAGTTTTAAGTTAAAACAGCCATTGCTCAGTGATGATACGATAAACGTAAATCTGAGAGCAATTTTGAAAAACAAAAATAAGTTCATGCTGAGTCCCTTCTGCTTATATTATTCCTTGCTTCGGATAAGTTGCTGATCTGTTATTGCGTGTGCTGGTTCCTGCTTGTTGCTGCTATTTCCTCTGCTCTTGGGTGCTGGGCTGCTGCTTCAAGATTCTGCTCCCAAATCACTCACATTCTCACTCCTCCCTTCATCTTATCATGTATCATTTTTTGCAACCCTAAACTTGATGATGTTTCAGTTGATAAATCTGAAATCTAATCTGGGTAGTAGTGATAGTAGTTTCATTATGTATTGGTATATGTATTGTGAATTTTAATCAATGAAAATGGTGACTTTTTTTAATTGCTTGTTGATATTACTCTAATTTTAATGTTATTTATCTCCAATCTTATGTTATCTTATTGGATGATCATGAATATCAAGGAACAATGAAGATAATTTGGGTGGACTTTATTACTGGAATGAAAAGATACAAATGATATATCTTGTAATTAAAATAAATAAGTAATCTAAAACGATATTAATAATGTCGTTGGCCTAGATCTAGGTGATATAAACCTTTGTATAAACCTAAGCCGTTTGATTAGATCTACATTTATTAACATTAATTATTTAATTGTATTTACTATTTAGCCATTTAGGTTGTAAATAATTCAATTTGAATTAAGCAGTTTGTAATTGTATAAGTTTAAACAGGTTGCGATTCGAAAACAGTTCGATTTTAACGGTTTAACGGGTTATGGCAGTTCTGTTTAGACGGTTAGCGGATTATAACGGTTCGGTTTATACGTGCGGTTT